TACTTTACTTTCGAAACATAGTAAACTCAAAACTATACTGTATAAAACATTCCCAAACTATACTTTACTTTGCTTTCTTGTACTCTTACTTTACTATATTATACTCTACATTATCTACTACACTCTGAAGTTACTACAGTCTTACAAAATCTTACTACACTTTTATCTTACATCAATCATGGTAAAGATCTTACTTTACCAAGCATGTGATGACTCTTCCATTCCCAGTAACTTCAATTACATCTGACACTACAACAACTGCCGGTCTACTTTGTGTCATGTTTTGTGTTATTTTTACAGAAATCTTATTTGCACTATCATAAGATAACTGCGACGTCAATATTACTGTAGTAATTAGTTACTTGAACCGCAGAAATGTTGTTACGAGTATGCGGTTTCTACAATTACAAAAGGCGGTGCAACGTGCTGATATATATAAAAAAGATGTTGGATAGATTTCGGCATTGTTTGTAAAGGTTTTCTTTGGTGAATGTGTTAAGGTTAGTAAGGTTATTAATTGTTAAGTTAAAAGTTTTTTTAGTGGAGGAAGTTGTAGTGTTAGAGGTAGAATTTCAATATTGTAGGGTAGGGTTAAGAGAGAAAGAATTGATGGTAGGAATAAGTCAAACTATTGAAGGCTGTGTATGCTCTTCACACTCAAGGAACCGGTCGATACCTGTTTATATATTCAGTTGTCATACTACACAGGGTACTTTTGATAGGGGTTTTTAATAGTGGTATGCTATTTAAAGTCATACTAAAGAGGTTTCACTACATACCTTAAAGTAAAAGAAAGAAATTGTACTGTATTTTGAGGCATAATGTATTATCTAGCAGTTTGGTAGAAGAATGGGTAGTGGAGTTAGAATCAGATAGTATTAGAAATAAGAAGGGTAATTATTTTTTAAATTTTTTGGTTTTTTATTTACTATAACTACTTGTTTTTGACTACCCTTTGCTTACCCTTCCCTTCCTGCCATAAACACAACAAAATGTTGCAACCAACCGTACAAAAGTAAGAATCACCCTTTCCAACAACTTTGTACAATATTATTATTATAGTGTAGTTGTTTCTCAAAAATAGTACAAATAATTTTAAATTGAACGCAATAAATGGGGTTAATAGTAGATTTCAAGAGCTACTTTACTGTATTATATCTTACAACAAGTGTAGTGATTGTATTCTTATTATTAGTCATAGTATTGTCTTTTGTAGATCCCGTGAGTTGCTTTGCTTTAATACAATTTTATGTTATTTTAAATTGTAAAAGCATGTATTATAGTAGTACAATAGTATGTTGTGTTAGGCAGTTGGAACTAGAGATATTATTGATTACGGTGCTATAGTAATGGCTCAGTACTTTTGTACTAGAGTTTTATTAGGTTGTTTTAATAATTCTGTGCCCTATAACTTTGAAAATTTGTTATGAGAAGAGGCACAGAATTATTTGAACAACCTAATAATACACTGTTTTTTTATGTAGTGCTATGTATTACTATATAGTAAGTTTAAATTTTTTGTACAACATCAGTACCAGAGTTCCCACGGGCTCCGAAGCCGGAGCTCATTTTTGAAAATGGTCGGAGCCGGAGCTGGAGCCGGAGCTAGGTTTGGAAACTCTGATTCAGTACTATATAAGCCGTTTAGTACTACTTATATAACTGTTTCACTCTGTAAAAACCTTATCTATTACTGCCGCTTCTGTTCATGATAACACACAAATACGATACTAATACTATGTAGTATATGAAGTGCAGCTACCGTACTCCCCCTACAAGACTGATCATTGCTTTAAGCTGCCTAGACACATTACCATGCTGCACGTATACCAATGATCGTATCTCGATTAGTGTGAAGGCATAAGCTGAGTAATCAGTTAATTTGTTCCAAATTGCAAAAAAATATTTCAAACTTTTGACATAATCCCGAGAAAGGCGGGTCTTATCGAGTATTAAGTTTAAAGAGGCCTTAATGATATCAGATTAGTTATACCAGTTATCTAAGATTACAAGGACAGACCGTGGTAATTTACGGTCTGATGGAGGGTTTTTCTACTTGGCTGGAATTTAGTATTGTCATAAGAGTTAAGTGATCTTTATCTTTTGGGTTAGGTACTGAATGTTATTTCTTACAATTAGTGAGTAATGTTGTGTTGTAGTACAAAGCTGTGAGTTAGTGTTATATATTGTACTATTATCTTATTTTTGTTGATTTTTATAACAATTTTCGAAGAAGTAATGAAAGATAGTCTGCAAAACTGAAGCATAAAAAATTGTGCATATTATATAAGTGTCATTACTTAATCTCTTTTAATAAACGAGTAACGATTTTTAAAAATCCAAAAAACAGCCATTTTTCAAGCGGAATCGAACTTTCTTGTTTTTCAATCTTTTTTTCAAATTTAAAAAAATCGTAGCTTGTTGTCTAGATAAGACGAAGTAATCAAACTTACAGAATATGTACAACTTTTTATGCTCTACAAAAAGTATATTTCCAATTTTTGAAAAAAAATTTATACACATAGTTGAAAAATAGGGGTACGGTAGAATTACTGTAACTTTTCAAAATTAAAAAAAGTTATGCTTGAAACAAATAGGTTTACTATTTTTTGACAACGGCTGTACATTTTAATATAACTTTGCTCAATAATGACATAACTGATTAAAATAAAAATTATCGTGATCTATAAAATCTACTTCACAAGGACAATAAATATTATTTGCTGTGACGAGGTGCTCCTCAGGACGTTCAGGCCGTAGTTAAAAGCCTGTGTGTAGCAACCGATTTGGCATAGTTTCTGTGCACTTGAACTTTTCATGCTACTCTTTTACATTTTTGAATTGTTTTTGTTAAGTCACAAACCTAGTATGTACTACAATACTTATTTCAATTCTAATCATTCATAAACTGTAAACTTGTTTTTCATCTTTATTACTGTATTTGTACATCTTCTCATGAAGTTCATCGAAAGATGTACAAACTACAATAGCCCAATCATACCTTTGAAACACATGATATATCAGTACAAGTTATTTATATCGTGTTTACAGTAATTATAGTCAAAGTTGTTTGTTACCGTACTAATGAGCACTAATTAATCTCTTGCGTATGTTTGGTTCTATGAATAATCTCGTGTTGCAACTTTTGGTCTTCTGAATATTTTAGACATTCAGAAGCCTGTACGATGGCCGGCTAAGGCTTTGTATTGTAATGTTGTTTGTGTTTTACTATGTGGTATGATAGTCTTTGTGTTTTACTGTGTATTATAATAGTGTTTACAGTGTGTTATGATCGTATTTGGTGTAACAATAGCTGGGACTGAAGGTTATGTTGTTGTAGATAACGTGAAAAGAGTAGAGTGTAGTATCTACTACAGTAAAAGAGATATATGTGTAAATTTTAAAGGTTTCTTATTGTTTTAGACGTTCTCTTCATTTGTAATGGTTATTTTAAGTATATTTTACATTGTAAGCTGACAATGAGTATCAAAATACGCTTTTTTACAATAATATTGTACCTTTGCTCGGTACATCGGTACTCTAAGATAAAGCATCGTACACAACGTATATATATATATATGAAGATAATGTAAAATGTATATATGTACTATAAATTATAGCATGTTATTTCAACTCACTTTGATTTAAATACTGTTTAAACTGTAACAACCTTCGAAAAACCATGTAGTATAATAAATATATGGCTTTATTATACTCAGTTTGTATCATACTTGATGTAAGTGTATTAACTCTTAAAACTTTTTCAACGTGCTGCGTAACTCTACTCAAATTACCGGTGACATAGACTAATGTAATTTTTAAGTTTATAAAATTTTTTTTGATTTTAAGCTATATGCACCACAACTATAACATGACATGTATAAAACTCATAATTTTATACATTAATATCTAACAGTAATAAGAAATGATTTTTGATTTTATCTTCCTTATCTTGTTGCCCTATAACTGTTGTCAATATTACTTTTTTTCAATTTTGATGATAAACATGGATAACATGTTGTTGTCAATGTTAATCTCGAATCTCCAATTATGACAAACAAAACGACTAATTGGATTTGTACTGTGAACTTCAGATTCAGATTAAGAGGTCTTAAGGTCTACTGAACAGATTATAACTCACTTACTGGACTAGCATTTTCTTAGGACAACATGTTATCTACAACAACATGTTGGCAAATGATGTGTGGGGCGGTGAAGGAACTATATATTTTACTTTGTAGTAAATTATGCTTACTTTTATTGTTTTGCTACTCTTATTTTACGTCTTAATAGGGCTTTAGAGTTTACTTGTTTAAACGTTTTGGGTCCCACCACGATTACCCTGATTTTTAAGCTTTTTATTGCAGAATGCCAAAACCTTTTGCACATTGAAATAACTACTATTGTACTACATTATCCGACTCTTTATCATCTTTTTTATCCGATATTATGATGAGTGTCACTCTGTAAATGTACTGTTTCACAATGCCACAGACAGTAAACACAAGCAACAAACCGTTGCCATTTCTTATAGTATGCGTCCTTGCTCTTCACATCATGTTTGTGTATACAATTTGATTACTTTTTAATCTAAATGGTAAAAGTTGAGACAATTCGTTCAATTTGTTTAATGTAAAGGTCGTAAAGCCGCTTTCGAATTTAAATCTCAATTATTCGAATACTCCCAAATTCACGGGTTTTACAGGTTTTGGTGTAAATCGACCGTTTAAGTGCATCTGATCCATGCCTTGGGTTTAGGGCTGGTTGTGTGGGTCGGGCATGATTATTTTGGTTTAGGAATGATAATGGATATGGAGATGTTAGTGTGGAGGGTGTTAAAGTGAGTTTTGGATGTTAATGCGAGTCTGCAGAGGGTCATGTAGCTATAGGGAAAGTAATGTGTGCCTAGGTATGTTAACGTGGCTCTCGGGATGGTAATGTGGGTATGAGGATGATACTGCGTGATATGAATTGCAATGTGAGCCTGTGTATGGTAAAGCATGTATGGGCATTATGATGTGGGTCCGAGAACGGTAAGGTAGATCTCGGAATGCTAATGTAAGGCTGCGCAAAGTAATCTGGGTCTAGAGGTAGTACAGCGGAGTGAAGATGATGCTTTATGGCTGGGAGTAGCGTTCTACGTTCCTGAAGGTACTGTAACAAATGCCACGTATATTATTATTTAAGTACGTGAACGAGTATGACAGTAGACATAATGGTACTTTGTTGTAGTTTCTTGACTAAAGAACTTTATCTGTACCACTACCGTTAGTTGTTAACTGTACTTAATCGGCAAGAGATCTGGAGAATGAAGAGGGCAGCGCTGGAAAGTTTTGTCTAATACATTCCTTTCTTCTCTCCCACCCCCCCCGTCCCCTTTCCTTTCCCCTCCCTCCTCCGCTTACCTTGTTTTTAGTGCTTACTGCACTTACAGTACGCGTGCTCAATTTTGATATCGACTTTAATGTATCTATAATACTACCTTTTGTTTTTAGGGTTCAATCGACATTGACAGAAGAATAAACCGGACAACGATGCTGGACGACGCTTCAGAATCCGATTTCTGCATCATCGACACGTCAACGCCACAATCGCTAGAAAGAGACTTCTACGCTTGGCTTAAAGTAGGTAGCAATAAGCGTGACTTTAGCTGTTTTATTCGGATTAATTAAGTAATCACGTATGTTGTGATGGTTTATGTTAAATGGTTTACTGTGATCTTTATTGTCTAAAATTTTAAATTTTAAAAAAAATTTTTTTTTAGTTTTTAATTTAATCTATAAGCCAAACAACTACATTCTCGTATTTTACCATAAAAACATATGTCAAAAAAATTACAGTACCCTATTTTAAGGGAGAACTAACACCTTCAACCCCAGCCCTATCAGAAGTCAGTACAACGTCGTGGTCTTCATCTACCCCTTCCTCAATATCATTTCCGTCTGAAGATGGCAGTGCTCAGAACAGTCCAATTGATGTGAAACCTGATCGCTTCGTATACGACTACATAAAGACGGAATACGACCAGAGTTACTGTGAGATAAGCGATGATCAGTTCTTCGGAGGAAGCAACGTCTACCACTCAAATCGGAATTCAGGTAGGTTACTGTAATTATTAAGTATGTTGTGGCTTTGGATATTGAGCTACAGTATCTCTTATGCCTTGGGGGGTTAAAGTATCTTTTTTGACACTGAAGAGTTACAGTATTCTTTATAGATAAAAGGGTTACAGCATCTTTTACATTTTGAAACGTTACAGTATTTTCTATACATTGAAAAGTTACAGTATTCTTTATAAATTAAAGAGTTACAGTATCTTCTATATATAGAACCCTCTTTCAAGATATACGACCAATGTCTACCGTAAGATCAATAGTATTTACCACTGCCTTTAATGTCAAAATAATATTCTTAAAAAAAGATTTTTACTGCCAAATCAGTCGTATTTACCATTGTTGTGACATGTTAAGCCTATTAGCCGCGAGATAACGGTTACCGCAGAATCTTTTGGATATCTTGTTCCTTATATCGAAATGTCCGTAATTTTTAATCGCCTTTGGAGCAAGGTAAAACAACATTAGTTCCTTATTTAAGTCCTTGTCTGTCTTTAATTATAGTGTACGGTACTACAATCTTTTTAGTGGAATTTCCGAAAGTGACATTTCGTTATCGGGTTTTTGAAATTATTACAAATTTGATGAATTCAAAGTAAACAAAGTGACCAGTAAACAACAGGAGTTAATCATTTTAATGTAAAAGGGCGTAATATAAAGTGTACAACGAAATTTTAAATTAAAAAACATTTGACGTCTTGTCATTGAAGTTCAATCCCCTAGAGTGACTTTCGTTATTCGTTTTTTAAAAATCAAACTTTTATTTCAAAAATCAATTTTATATCAATTCTTTGGTCTTTTGCAGACACTTTCAAGTCCTACTTATAACTTTAAAAGTACAATCCAAAAAATTGACATTTCGTTATTGGTTTTCATAAAATTAAACTTTAAACTCAAAAATCAACTTTTTATCAATTTTTTGGTCTTCTAAAAGCAAAACCATTACTTTTAAGCACGACTAGTAACTTGAAAAGTACAATCCATAAAAGTGACATTTCGTTATTGGTTTTCATAAAATTAAAATTTTATCTCGAAAACCAAGCTCCTTTCAATTCGTTGGTCTTGTAAAGACAAAACCACGACTTTTACGCCCAAATAACAATTCCAAAAGTACAATTCAAAAAGTGACATTTCGTTATTGGTTTTCCAACTGGGAACTCCATTGTTTCCTTCAATTATAATATAATCCAAACGTACGTGGCAAACTTTAACAGCGTTAGTTAATGCACTAAAACTGTTTACAAGTAAATAAACATTCGAGAATGTTCAAATTGAGCCGTTTAATCTCGGTCTTAAATAGCCGTCTTAAGGAAGTCCTTTAAAAAGTGTACAGACCAACATGTTATAGGATGTACAACACATTAATAACATTTACATTAGTACAACAAAGTGTAAAAAGACAGTTTTAATCTTTTTTTGAAAAAATTAATGCAAAGCAAATGGTTGTTCAAATAATTCTGCGCCTTCTCTCATAAGAAACCTTTACGATTAGAAGGCACAGAATTACTGAAACAACTAAATATGAAAATAGAGATCATTACAAACTCCTAAAGCTAGAATGCCATTATAAAGTTACATTTTCAGGTACTAATCAACTAGGCCGAACATATAATCCAGGATTACCGCTAGGCATGGAAGAACGAAAGAAGATCGTGGCCTTGTTCCAAAAAGGGTGGAAGATATGCAACATATCCAAGAAGCTATGTGTAACACATTCTTGTGTCTCCAAAATACTCAATAGGTATGTTAGATAATATGTTTATTCAAAGTGGCAAGTCATATACTAACTTATTATATCATGTATTAACTTACCCTCCCTTCTATTCTAAACTACCTTTCCCTCTCCTCATATAAGCCCCTACCTTTATATAACACAGCCTTACTAATCTTACCCTTTTATACCGTATCTACATATATATATATATATATACCATACTGAAAATAATGACAATAAACACAATGTAACAATGTTAACCATTACGGTATTGTAGATATCGATCCACAGGCTCAGTAAAGCCAAAAGACGCCAAAGAAGGTAGAACAGAGTCGCCACTAGTCGCGGCTATTCGAATATACGTCCAGAAGTACGGAGTAACGAAGCAATCAGAAATACGTGATCGACTAATCAACGATAGTATCTGCACTGTAGATACGTTGCCTTCTCGAAGCTCCATTAACCAGTAAGTTAATAGATAACTGTACCATTATAAAAATTTTTAAAGTACCATTTATACCATTTTTGTACTCTCATATGGATTAAAATCCTATCGTAAAATCATATTATATTACCATAGAGCCATATTAAATTATATTAACCGTGATCGTACAGTAAACAGCTGCCTTTATCCGCCTTTCTTCGTATAAAATGTCCCCTTTTCAGCATTCTCCGAACAAAACTTTCCGTGAAAGCGACTCGAAGAACGGCCAACAACGTGATCACTAACTCTCCCTAACGGTCAGCTATGTCAACATACGACAATTACCGCTTTACACTACCACATGTACATGATCTACACACTATTGTATACATATAACTTGTCTTTTCGTATGTACAACTCTATGTATAATATATATGCTTGGCATTTGCGAAACTATGTATATATCTATGTACATATGCTTCGTATATACCAACCTATCTATAAATATCATTATGTATATCTAACGACTAAAATACTGTTTACTACGCCTACATATATCGTATATAAATTCTCAATTTCTTTCAAAACCTGTTTTATAGCTACAATTACATCGTATGTTGCCTGTAGCTGTTTATGTAAACCTTCTTGTATGTATATACGGACCTATTTATTGCTACCCAACTGTATGTTTGTATATGTACATTATGAATGTCCGGTACACTTCATTCAATGTCTACCAAATCTTCGCCAAAACTTATTTTATTTATTGCTATTTATTACAAAATAAAGTGTTGTTTTACTCTGTAAGGGAATAGAAATAAAATTTACGTATTTTACAAAATATGGAAGTTCATAACCGTATAACTTGGTCCACATTATGCGTATTAACATACAGTATCATTCAAAAACAGTACTATCTCCATCTGCCTCTCTATCAAAGCCTGAACTACTCACAAGTAATCGTGTAACGACAAATACATATCACAATATAGCATCAATACCAATATATTTATGCAAGTATTTACCATTATGCTACAAAATACAACGTTATGCTATCAAGTTAGTACATCCGAGTTATAGTGGTATGTTGCCGTGCTTTCGGTTCTTTTTGACAACTTTTTTACTGCGCAGTAACTCTAAATCTTGGCATATCTTGCGACGAGTCGTGCGTGGTTCAATAATGTCGTCAATGAAGCCTGGAAACAAAGTTTCTTCTATTTTTTCTGACTTTATATATCATCCATATCATACAATGCCCATGGACAATATACTATAGTAAAATATAGTTTATATACTATAGTACAATATAAACAAATATACTACCTTAACATTACTGAAAACCCATCAAAAGCAAATAAACATCAACTATCTAACTCAACATCAAGATACCTTACCTCTAGTAGCAGCAGGGAAAGGATTACTAAAGTGGTCGATGTAGTCCCTCTCGTGCTTGGCCTGGTTCTCAACGTCTCTTCTGTATAATATACTGACAGCTCCCTTTGCTCCCATTACTGCCACTTCAGCTGTCGGCCAGCAGTAGTTGATGTCAGCTCCAAGGTGTTTCGATGCCATTACATCGTACGCTCCTCCATAAGCTTTGCGAGTAATTACTGTAATCATAGGTACTGTAGCTTCCCCGTAGGCGTACAGAATCTTAGCACCGTGTCTGATGATACCATCGTACTCTTGTGAGGTTCCTGGTAGAAAGCCGGGCACGTCGACCAATGTTAGTATTGGGATGTTGAAGGCATCGCAGGTTCGTACAAAGCGGGCTGCTTTTGTCGCTGAGTTTATGTCCAGACAGCCTGAAATAAGTTGTTGAATTTGAACTTTAACTTAAATTTAGTTGCATAGTTTTTTATTTTAGGTAATAAAACGTTAGTTTTTAATTTTAGAAAATTAAAATTACGTTAATGTAATTGGTTTATATCAAAAAGCATACATTTTGACCAACAACCAAGCAGTATACTATCAAATATTCAAAAACAAAGATCTTATGAGCTTTATTATGCATGTTAATATATTTAAAATGTAAGAAAAGTAACATGAACTTTAAAATTCCCCTTCAAACCTTTATATTCCACCAAAAATTACCAAAAAATTCCCCAAATACCTTAAATAACCTACCAGCCGCAAACTTTGGATTATTGCCAACAATTCCAACCGTCTGGCCGTTAAATCGACCAAAACCACATAAAATATTCTTGGCGTAATCTGGTTGAATCTCGAAGAAATCAGCTTCGTCCACCAGTGACAGTACCACTTCCTTCATGTCATACGCCTTCATCGAGTCTAGTGGTACTATCGTGTCCAGATTTGGTACATCTCTGTCCCATGGATCGTCACATTTGCATATTGGAGCCTGTTCTTGGTTATTTAATGGCAAAAAGTTCATAAATTTGCGAAGATTCAACAGGGCTTCAATGTCATTGTCAAAGGCACCGTGGGCTACACCTGATACCTATAATAAGATTGTTTTAAACAAAAAAATGTGAGTTATTATAATATCTTTTAATTTCGAAATTTAAAATATGTGTCTGGATTTAAAAAAAATGTTTTTCTAATTAAAAATGTAGGTTTAAAAGCAATATTTACCTTAGTATGAACCTTAGCACCTCCAAGATCCTCTTGTGTTACAGTTTCGTTAGTGACAGCTTTGACAACATCCGGTCCTGTAATAAAAAGATACGAAGTATCTCTAACCATGAAAGTAAAATCAGTTAAAGCTGGAGAATAAACAGCACCACCAGCACATGGTCCCATAATCATCGAAATCTGAGGAATTATGCCCGAGGCTTCTATGTTCTTCTAAAAGATCAGTGTTTAGTAATATGAAATGTCGAAACAACGTTCAAATTTGAAAAAAAATTAAAAATCTCGTACCTTAAACACATAAGCATATCCAGCCAAAGAATCCACGCCTTCTTGGATTCTAGCACCTCCAGAATCATTCAAACCAATAACTGGGCATCCCGTCAACATGGCTTGCTGTAACATCAATTTACAGTGTCACACAGTAAAACATTTACCAAATTTACGTTCAAGACGTTGCCAAACGTGCTTTACAGAACTCTTTTTAACATCGACCTCTTACAACATAAAAAATTTAGAAAATAAATTAACCCCAACCTCACCCATCATAACCTGCTTACCTCCATAATCTTGACTACCTTCTTAGCATTTGCCATCGAAAAAGAGCCTCCAAACACCGTAAAATCTTGTGAAAATACATAAACCGTCCTTCCACTGATTTTACCATGCCCAGTTACCACACTGTCTCCTGGATACTAAAACAAATCATCTACTACAACATCAACTACTGTTACCTTTTCTTTTTGCATGTTAAAGTCAGTACAGGTATGTTCGACAAATTGGTCATACTCTCTGAATGTTCCTGGATCCAACAGAACGTGAATCCGCTCACGAGCAGTCAGTTTTCCCTGAAATTATATGATTTTAGGTAACAAATTTAATAAAAATGAAAATAACTCAAAAGTTTCAATTAAAATACTTCACATATTCCTAAACTAAGCAACTAACATAAAAAAAGTAAAATAAGGACTTACTTTCTTGTGCTGAGCATCAATTCTGGCTTTACCTCCACCCAATTCAGCTTGAGTTCGCGTTTCTCCGATTCTTTTTTGAACTTTTAAAGCGAAATTAGTCGAATCTGGTACATAACTAGATGGAGAAGATGTTGAATGCCGTGTTGAGGATAGAAAGACCTTCGAGTACACATTTAACACCCGTTTCGACAACATTTTGTCTGAAAAAGTGAAAATAAACAAACTAGAAAGTCCAGAAAACCTGTCATTATGACGGCTTTCAAAACATTTCGAAAATATTCAAAAAAAAATCAAAAATATTTTTACAAGTTTTCCAAAGCTGATAAAAACAAAGTGGCAAGTAAATTAAGGTTTTCGTGTAAATAACGGCTTAAAGTATCTGTTACACTACTATAATATCAGAAACGTTTTCAACTTTTTTTTAATTGACCAAAAGATTTTCCGCGTTCGAACAGAGAATAAATAGAGTTTAAAGAAACCGCCGAGCAATGAACACTGAATGATCGACGGTTATAACATGGGCTGAAGGAACAATAATATTACACATGAGGTTAGAAATGTTGCTAAGATCGAGTATTATGACAGGTATGATATATTTTCTATAGCTGTTGGATAATGACAAAAATTAAAGTTTTTTGAACAGTTACAATAATTCTTGTATAAAAAGATCTAAATATCGAGTTTTTTTTGTAAAGACGACTGCACAGTGCAGTTATTTTAAGGTTTGTAAATTGCACCGTGCAGACATGACTAAAAATTTAGACTATACTGTACAGTAAAAAATGTTATTCTTTAAAATTTTAATCAGCTGCATTTTAATATTTTACGGTTTTCAAATTATATAGGCATAAGCAGGATACTGCACGGTGCAGCCTGTTCTCTTTTGTAAACTGCACCGTGCAGAAACAAAATGAGGTGACATAATTAAAAAGATTTAAATTTACAAAATCTACTCAACCTTTGTCAATCAATGTCATCTTGGCCAGGTAATGCCATGCCTTATAGTTCTTGTCGACCCTAATGTATTATTCAAATAGTTGTTTCAAAAATAAAATACGACGTTGTGTTAGATATCACCTGTTCCCCGCTGTAATTGTATTTTCTCTCCAATTGTAGTCGTATCAATAAAGTAGACTTGTTTAATTTGTAAAGGTAACATGCTTTACAATTGAATGTAAATTTACCTTATCTATGATATACAAAAAATACTATGGTATGTTATGGCTGTAATGTTAAGAGTTACGACTACTAATTACCGTGTAAAATATATTAAATTTCATTTTGAAATTGTTAAGTGTATAGTTGTGCTATAAGGTAATTCATATTGTAATTGCTTCAAGATACTACGTTTATATAGTATCTACTATAAGATTACTGGTAGTAGACTTATTTCTGTACAATATTTAGTAGACTTATTTACTGTACAATATTTAAACCTACTACCAAAATCTAGCTTTTTAAAACATTATGGATGGATTTGATAAAGCTACAGTGATCACTATAATATTAACCATAGTAGAGTTGATTCTACAAATAATAGGCCTAGGATTCATTACAGTATGGGCTACAGTATACCATCAATTACCCCTGTTTCATTACAATTTAGTATTTACAGTAAAGTATATTGGAATAACATGGATAGTTTCAGTACTTACCAGAATATTAGCCATAGTAGTCTACTTTACAGACCCACAAAGCCACGGTAAGGGGATCTTATTGTAATTTTAATACTTTAGCAGAATCCGACGTACTATTTAGTACCAAGACCAAGTTTGTGATTACTGAGAACATCTACATGTTGTCGATGGTTATGGTCGGATGGACTGTGTTGTTTACTGTATTCGAGAGGTTGACTGCCAATATATTATTAGGATCGTATGAACATAGAGAAGATAGATGTCTACTAAGGATGATTTTAGTATCTGCGTTAATTAGTGCTATTGTGTTCTTGTATTACAATTACAGTAAGTTTTAGGCGTATTTTTTCACTTTTTCTTAACTATTTAGTTACAATAGGCCGATTGTAAAGGTTAACCTATTAGTTTTTGAAGGTTTAATTTAAACTTTGGACTTAGAAATTAAATTTGCATTAAATTTACGAAAAACGTTAGAAATTTAGACGTCAAACTTAAGAATATTTAATGCAAATGCTTTTCCAGAAGAACAAAACATTCATTCAGTTGGTAGTTCGAAAAGTCCTGAACCAAAAAAAAATTAAAAAAATTAAATCCAATTTTTGAAGTTTTTAAAATTCTTTTTATAATTAACAGGTTACTACCCACGACCTGATTATAAATTATTTTAAATTACATTGTATGTCTTTATTCTTTTTTCGGTTTTATTTTTTAAAAAAACGTTTAGTTCAGAACTTTAAGGACAACTTAATAATTGATGTATAATATCAATTTATGCCAAGAAAATTTTTGTGACGCCGTATCAGCTCACAGTAAAATATTTTACTACAATTTTTAGTTTTGCTACCGTATTATCAATTCTGATAAACAAAAACTCAAGTGAATACAATGTTAATGTACGGTTTAATGCGTGAAATTACAATTTACATTATATACCTATTGTCTTACCATTTTTTTTAATTCTTTAGTTTGCTAGAAAGAATCTTAAACTTTCAAAACTTTATGACAATATGTGTATTATAAACTACATCTGTGGCCAAATATAATTTTCAAATTCAATTTAAAAATAAAAAAAACAATTAAAACGTTTTAAAATTTATAAAAATTAAAATTTCTTGAGTACGTTACACTTAATATTATACTTGTGCATCGTACCCAAAATAAAAAATTGTTTTAGAGTTCAAATGGCACTTGTTCGAGAAGTTAGTACTGTACATTCCAGTTGCTGCTGTAGCCTTTATTTGTTTGGTACTGTTCTTGGCCTTTCATACCTCGAATAAGAAACGCCTTAAAAGTGCAATGGAGAACCGATCCTTCTATTCACTTAATGAGAGGTTCGAGTTGGCTGAGAATGTCAGAATCGGAGAGATAGCAATGAAACAAGCCTTTGTAGTCAGTGGCATTGTCATCACAATGACTACGGTAGCTACTATCGTTGGGTTGCTGGATGTTCAAGTACCGGTAGGTTAAATTAAATTTTAGGAAAGTTTTAATAAATTATAGCAGGAACTATTATAAACGCCACATGTGTAAACGTGTACATAAAGCCATATTTCAAACTTTGTTCACAGTAAATTCTCCTTCCTTTCAGGTATACATCCTACGCTCAATATTGTACTTAACCATAGCCATCTATGACATTTGTGAATGTTTCTTAATAGCATATTGTCACCCAACTTTAAAGAAGTTATATTTTGATCAACTTGAGCTTATCTTGAGCACACGACATAAACGGTCTGCCGTTCACTTTATAGAAGATACAAAACGCTACAGTATACGAAACACAGATGGACTAAAATTGAACTTCTCGGCCAAAGAAGAGAATAAGATCGTGTTCATGATGTTGGAAAAGAGTTGGCAATAACGTTCATTTTTTAATAGCACTACTACAATAAAACTTTTAAGGACCTATCACCTGGTACTATAGTCATTACTACAATATTTTGATAGTATTGAGTAGTACAAAGGCCTTGTGTATCACAAAGTTAAATATTTAGATAGCTAAAGTAACAATAAAGTTTTATTGACCCTGAGAAATGATGAAAATACCATTAGAATAAACATATAGAGACTATTCTCGATTCACAACAATATTGTCATAGGGCTTAGAGGTAGGGCTTTTGCCCTTTTTAACAACAAAACAAATGATAGCTACCCAGATGATCACTGCCACTGCTATCACAAACACCCAAAGGCCCCACCAAGCTCGTCGGTAAGCGTTCAACTGAAAGTTTAGGTATTAAAACTACGATAATATTATTTTATTTTTCAACTAAAACGTGTTCCGCTACTTTCGGTTCAACCTAATATTAAGAAAAAAAAGAACAAACCAGTAAAACTATAAAAATATCTTCTAGTATAAACTAAGCAGCTCTTTAAAAAAAGTAACTACATCAACATGCCAATTGTATCGACAATAATGTGTGTAAAACCCTACAAATAGTAAAAAATACGAAAATGTAGCATTGTCAACATGTAGGACAATGAAACATACTTTATCATACTTATATAGATTTTAATTGTAGTGTTTAACCAAGATCTTGGACAAGGTATTATGTTAAAAAAGTAATAAAGCATGCTTTACATGACTTACAATACCAAACTCCCACGTAAATTACGAATCATCTACCCTACAATAACATCATGTTTAACCTTTTAAACTTTGAAAACTCTATAAATTTTCTGACCCAACATTAACGTTTGACAGTCACCTGAATGTTCATAACAATCCTACCTGTTTCCTTTCTTCAACCGTCAGTTCACTGACTTCTTCGTCGCTCAACGGACTTTCTGACAATGTGTATTTGGCCAACATGGCCGCTTCATGATTCCAGAATTCTGGAGCTGGGAAGTGAAGTTGGCCTTTTATTAATCTGAAGAATTATGTAGGTAACAAAACATTATCGGAGCATTTCATTATGGGTGGAAAAACATTATTTTTAATGTGTCTTGTTTTCTTTTAGGTAAAACAATATTATTTTTGTTTTAGATTACACTTCAAATGAGATATCTTATTTTTTTGTTCATTTTTAGGTAATATAATATAATCTTTTTTTTCTTCTATATTATTGTTGTTTTGAGGTTTTCCAGAAAAATTTTGATTTGACAGCCTAAGGTTTTAAAAACGTCGAAATAATTTCAATATTGTCGCTGAAGTGTGCATCATAATATCATGTTAGAAAGTTAAAAATAGCACGTGTAATTCGCATAAGAAGCAGTAAAATAAAACTTGCTTTGGATGTAAACCAATTGAAACATAATGAGCACTTGAGTTACTATAAGATGGCCATTCGAATACTTCTATTGATGGATCTCTAAAACAATATTATCTAATGTTAAAAAGCTAATATTTATTAAAAAAAGTGTTTTTAGGTAACAATTTCAAATATCTTCCACAAATTAAACAAAATCTCACCCAGTTTTGGCAAAGTTAGCAATCATGGTAGTCAAGACCTTGCTCATGGCTCTGTCTTGCTTTGTAAACGGCTTAATTTGGAAGTTACTACTGTAACCATTACTGAATATAAAGGCATGATCTAGGCCATGAAAAGCTGTCAATTCGTATCCATCAGTAGAAGCGTCCTTCTTGGTTACTGTAACTTGATTGTCTCCAAATAACTCGTAAAACCTTTTGTCTACTTCTACTATGTTTCCTTTAGGTATGTAGTCAAACGAGTATGCAAAAACATCTAGGCCGTTCTTGACATAGCCATCAACTTCCGATTGGCATGGGGCTACAAACTCTATATCGGCTTCTAACTGAAATATACTGTAATATTCGTAATATACAATTGTTGTACGTACTACATAACATAAATAGGTACACGCCAGTAAATTTAATCGTATCGTAAGACCCAGACGTGATGATTTATATAACAAAAGTAAACAATTAAAAAATAGACCCACATCTTGTAGCCTAGCCACGACTCCAGGCATGTCAAAGTTAAAGTCTACATCCTGCATATATCGTAGGAATGTAGCGTTTGAAATCAAGTTTAATGTAGCATTAGGTACTTTAGCAGGTAACCGAGAAGCATACGAGTTGTAGACTAGTTTCTTGACTGCTTCTTCTGCCTTAGACCGACTCATGTTTTCATACCTCCAGAATTCATAGAATTCCGCTAAAATACGTCACGTAATATGTTTAAAAAAAGAAAAAAAAATAAAATGTGAAGACCTAATAATCCTTCCTACCATTTTGCTAAAAGAAAGCACTCCTAGATATATACTATCCCTACCCTGTCCTTAAGTTAATGATCAACAAGAAAAACAATTAAAAAAACTTTTTTTGAACTTACGCCTCTTATGAGCCCATTCCCGGCTAGCCACTCCAGTTAAAAGTGGCAGATGAGCGTAGTCAGAGACTAGTTCAAAGCCGGATGAAGGAATCAGTTGGCCGTCCACTACCATCTTCGAAACACCAAGCTAAAATGCTAACATAAATTTTAAATCAAGGAATTCTTTACAGTTTTCAATAGTTTTAGGCTATAGCTATAGAGAAATCAAAGCTTTAAATTTTTTTAAAAATTAAATAGCGAGTTCTTATAAGAAACGCTTACCTCGGCCGACAAGGCATGCCTAAATAAGGGTTCTGAGAAGTTGATTTCTTTCCGAAAACACTCCAACATGTCTTTGGCGTTCATTTTTCCGCCGTTCTGGAAATTTTAAAATCAAAAGTGCATTTTAAATAGTTAAAGTAAAATATCAAAATTTTGGAAATCAAATTTTACTTTACACACTGTTTCTTAGCATTTTAAAAACGTTTTTTCTTAACGTACTATCAAGCACTCCGGCACATTCATTTGTAGGTTGCAATGTTCTGTTGTCTTGGCCTTCTTATTCGAGGCCTCGCGATTCAGAACCGCCTTGAGATCTTGTTCTGGAATGATTTTGTTGCAGCGAATGAAGTCGGCGATATTGTTCATGTCCCACGCATTCATGCCATGCCGATGAATCGCCCAGCCAGCTGTCGACGAGCCGCTCAGAGCAATGACCTGGTGCACCAAGCCTAAAAAGATTTATGTTCTCCTTGTTGGCAATTAATAAAAATGAAAGATTGAAAAGAATTCTGCTGGCTTTTAGCCTAAAACATTAAAATGGTCGTTTAAACTGTTTTTTTATAATTTTAAGTGTTGAAAAACGTAAAAAAGTAACCTTTCGTGTTATAAAGTTTAAAAAACTAGAAATTTCACAGTTTATACCTAAAATTAATCAATACAGAAAGCGTTTCCTGCAGCCTGCAAGATCAATTTTGAGCTGCGCCCTCCACTTACCTCGCGTTAACGGACTCAAACCCAAGACAGAAATGGCAGCAGCTCCAGCACTTTCACCCATAACAGAAACACTACTGGGATCTCCATTAAACTGCTTGATATTCCTCTGAATCCACTCCAATGCCAACTTCTGATCGTAGATACCAAAGTTACCTTCAACATGATCACCATAGTCAATTGACATAAACCCAAAAGGTCCTAATCGATAGTTTATCGTGACCAATGTGATTCCCTTAAAGACCAAGTTCTTGGCCACAGCTTCCATATCAATGCCAGTATCAGCCGAACCGGCAAGAAATGACCCACCATGAACCCAGACAATGATCGGATACAGCTTAGATTCGTCTTCTGAATCGTACGGTGAAAAGATGTTGAGGTAGAGACAGTCTTCGGACTCGTTCGGCATGTTGGGACCAGAATAGCGGTCGTTTTTGTGAAAGTCCATGAATTGGACACAAGGAGGGCCGTAATCGACCGCTGCGTATTCTTTTTCCCATCTTTGTTTTCGAATGGGGAGCTAAAACAATATAATAATTTATGTAGAAGGTTTAGGAAATTTGAGGGAGAAAAATGAAAAATCTATTAAAAAAATTGAAAAACCAACTTTGAACCTGAGATCTCCAAGCGGAGGCTCGGCGTACGGAATGCCTCTGAAGATTTGGACCTGCTGCTCGCCCAACTTGTAGATCTTGCCCCTGACCAGACCTTGCTCTACCCAAACACTCCTCGACTTCTCCAGGTTTTGGGCATCGATCACGATGACCAATAAAATTTCAAAAACTAACCTCATTGGGACGAGTTTGGGCCGCTGTCTGCTCATTTTAAGGGCCCGATTTTAGCTGCATTTTAAGTGATTGCAGAAAGACTCTTTGTGCCGAGTTCCGTTTTTTGTTTCGAGAAGCAATTCGATTCAAAAAACGATCCCAACAAAAGCCTGAGGGGTTGTTTTGATGGCATCAGTTTCGGTCACTTTTCGCTCGTCTGTCATCAAAAAACAAACAATGTCATGAAGCACGTTAACTACAAGTCGGCTATTTAAGCTGTAATTATCTAACAGACCTCAGTTTACATTGTTAGTAATGAATAGAAAACCCTTGTACCTCCGGGGTACCCTTATCCATATTGTGCAAATAAAAAGTTCCATTACACTTTGATAATAGTGAGAATGTCCAAACTAAAGCCTAATTTATTTTGCTCAACTTGGAAAATTAGGCTTATAAAAAAACCATTATTATTTATAAAAGTAGAAATTTTAAACTTATACTTCAGCTTGTATAATATTTCACCCTGCCGTGTAGTTATCATCAAATACTTAAACTGACCGCCTATTTTATGATTTGTTAAGTATTCAAAATCCTTAAAAATAACCAAAAACTAAAATATAACAATCATTTATCCTACCAAACATAACAATTAACCTATAAAACCAACTTGAGATATTACTCATACAAAAACAGACCCAACTTCTGGCGATATTGGGATGTTGGCACTAGAGACTTTAATTCAGACTTGGATGTCCAACGGTAATCAGCAATCTTCTGGCTAAAGTCTATTTGATTGTCAAGCTCGTTGATATAGCCAAGATACATGAATATCTAGAAAATATAAATATAAAAAGATAAATTATGATTTACCCACAAAATATTATTGAAAGAACTAGGAAAACTTACATTATTTCCCTCTTTATTCAAACTTTCAGCCAACTTCGTTGGATACTTACAAGGATGAACAGAAAATGGAGCATTGCCAATAATGGTAACATTCACATCAGACGATATTGTTTCTCCAAGACACTTCTCAGCTGTCTATAAAGCAAAACAATACAATTTTCGAGCTCATAATAACTTCATACTTATATATAAACTTTATATTTAACAACAAAAACTTAATTTACCTGTCTCAAGGTTTCGCCATTGTTCTTCAAAACAGGTAAGGTCCACTTTTTTGGCTCATTCTCTCCAAACTTCTGCTTTACCAGCAAAAGCAACCTTTCATCTAAACGTCTCCTCAATGATCTTTCGTCCTGATCCTCCAGTTTCTCCCTGTTATCAATTTCAAAAGTTTTGCGCGTAGTTTGGGCAAAGTCTTTATATTCTCCTTCTTCTTGCAAAGCTGTTTTGCCGATCTGATCATCCAGTTCACTCAGATCCTTTCCTTCTGCTTCTAATTGTTTTCTTTTCTCCAGTAATCTAAAAGAATAACCTTACATTGCAGCAAAGACTAGATTTGACGAAGGTTTTTAAATAGTCTTGTGAAGAATACTATTTCCGTGCTATACCTAAACAAAGAAAAAACAAAGAAAACCAACTTACTCAGCATCCTTGATCATTCTCAACTCAAAGTCACTCAACAACGATCCCTCATGCTCAATTTGTTCCTGTTGTTTCTGGAATTTTTGTTCAATATCAGTCAGTTTAGGAGCAATAACTGGTAGTCGAACCAAAGCCAAAGCGACTGACAAATCCCATTTTGAAGCATCTAAAGGTTGTCGAGCTGCTTGACCATAAAGTCGTTGATAAGATAGACGTGAAAGTTTCGGTATTAACATAATAAACAAAAATCTACCGCGAAGTTTGTTAAAAATATTATTTTCCAAACAAAAAAAAGGATAAAGCGGAACGCCAAGAAATCAAATTTTTGCGAAAAAAGCGTGAAGATGAAGGATTTAAAGTTTGTTCGCACAAAAATGACAAAAACGTTTAGAAAAGAGAAAGTTTTGTTAAAATTCACTTTATTTTTAAATAAAAAGATCTCAAATTGTGAATAACAGAAAATGAGACGGATCTTATCTGATCTGGCTTTCAATTGATTTAAAAATCGGCCAAGCAACTTGTGACTATGTTTTGTCAACTTTAAATGATTTTATAGCAATTTTTCATTTCGAGTTACTTTATTTTAGAAATTATCTTATCCAAATATGTTAATTTGGTGGCTAGCAATAGCGTCAAGTACTGTATTTTCTTGCACAATCAATTTGAACGGTGATCAAGGATATTATGTTTCTAAATTACCAGAGTCTGCTACTGAGTGTATTGCTGTTATTCCGCAAGTTGAAGGAAAAGTTATTAGGCTGTTGATTGAAGACCGCAACGTTGTGATTCCAAATTTTTATGGACTCGAACACTTGTATATTGTTTACCTTACTCAAGGAGCTGAGAAGGTGGAGATACCAGAGTATGTGACATATTTTTTACTTTTAGACATAAATATAAAATGTAAAATTTGCAGTTTTATGTTAACTTTACTTTTTTAGCTCCTTCAAATCACAACACTTCTTATCGCCATTAGGTGGAGGTATTGAAGTAAAGTTATATGTTAATAATATTTATATCAATTATACACGGTTTGATAAATATAATCAACTGTTGTATTTTAAAAATGAAATTTTAACTCTTGAGTATAAACTTTGTCCAAATCTACTTCTGAACGCTAAAGAGGAATGGCAAGATCTAGATTTGCCATGGTAAGTTAATTGATTATACTTCCATTTCGAATGTTGAATTTGTCATAGATATATTATAAGTTGTTATTATAACATCTTAATTTGTAATAATTTCAGCCTTACTGCACCTATTCATCTTTTTTGTTCATTCAATCAGGCGATACAAGTATAACATGTTAAGTCATGATAATGATTCAACCATGAACGTGCTAAAGTAAGTACAGCATTTTATTTACTGACTAAAATGCCTTTAAACGTTAAAACTTCGTGCTGCATGGCTAATACCATACAGAAGCTAAAATACTATCATTGGAACGGTACAGTTAATGCCATTACAAAGGCTTTTGAAATAACAAAAATATTTTTTTCTTTTAGAATGACGTGAAAAAGAGCTCGCGACATTACTCGCTTATCACTTCAGTCTGATATTGTGGACAGTCAGAGTATCTCAAGTAATAACTTAACACATTCGGATCTCAAGAGGAGATTCTACAGAAATAAGCTAGAATACAAGCCCACAAGATAAGGTTATAAGATTTACCTTCCTAAACATTCAACAATATAATAAATATAAACCGATATGAACTAAGATCCAGGTATAAAGTGTGACGTCCTTCGGACGTCCCAGCTGTCCTGAGCCTGCTGACCAACTACTGACCGTCCTGTTGCTTCCTCGTCCTCTCCTTTTATCGTGCTGTCCACGTACGTGGTGCGGAATGCCAAGTGCTGTTCGCCGTCGTTGCGGGACGCAGGTGGAACGGGGATGTGGTTGATCGCTGGCTGGTCCTACTACACACAGAGGAGTTGCTTTCAATGTCAGTCGTGTTATATTGAACTCTGGTAAGCAACTTTTACAAAAAAACTTTTTTTTACCGATATTGATTGTTTTCTAAAATACGGAGACTTAAAAAATATATTTAAATTTTTTTATTTTATATTTAATAGGTGTTTTAAGATAAGATGTTTTAGCGTGTGAATGTCCATCAATCAGATACAATGAATTGTATGTAAAGGTAGGAGAAGAATGCCCAGAGATCGACTGTTCTTGGGACTTTCAAAGAGAGTTTTTACGTTACAGACACTACAGAGTATTCGTAAACATTACTTTCAAGTTTGGAGCTGAAAGTGAATTTATTGGATTTTTGTATAAGAATCCAAGGTAACATCATGTGCATTTAGGGCTAAAAAACGAGCAAGGCCGGCCTGGACCAAAAATTAAAATGGGCCGGGCCTAAAATTTGAGTCTAGGGTCTGAGCCAGGGCTTAAAACGTGGGTTCAGCCTGTTTCTCATCTATATACAAGTACATTAATTCTTTTTTCTGTCTCATCTAATATTGTAATTATTGTTCTAATGTAAATTAACATAGTTTCCGACATCTGTTTTATAATTTTAAAACGTATTTTAGCCTGGACAGGATATTAAAACAGAAAAACGAAGTGACTACGGTAATGTTCACTGATTACTACGATACACTGGCTACGATATGGTACCATCGAGAGTATTACATTCACAAACAAAGCGACAGTTTCTTCAGGATCAATTTTCAATTTGCTGAAGGTAAGCCTACATATATATACAAACTTGCATATACAATATTCTTATTTGTTAGGAAAAGTGAAGTTTTATATATTATGGGTTATTTTGAACATTACACTTATATAATATACTATACTTAATAGAGGAGAGATTAATGCTTGAAACAACTTTAAAAGTTCAAACATACTATTTTAGACTGCCAATGTAACTCAACAGAAATAAAGGCATCTGAATTTTGGAAAAGTTTTACTTCGCCTGGTTACTCATATGAATACTGTAACAAAATGGACTGTAGTTATCACTTTATTTATGATAACTTGAACTATTTTATCGAAATCAGATTTCTGGAGTTGGACTTGAAAGAATCGGATTATATTAACTTTTACTACAGTAATCCGTACAGTCAACATATTGTGAAAAAGTAAGTTAAGTTTTGTCTACGATACCGTAAATATTTAAACTAATACATATCAGTAAGATATGTAGTGTTTTATAATGGTAAAAAGTGTTTTTATGTGATGTAACTCATCTTCAAAGCCATTTATATTCTAGAGTTACAAGCACCACAAACATATCAGAAGTGATACGAAGTAAAGATCATGTTGTGCACTTTACCTTCAAGATGGATCACAAAGGAACTGGTAAAGGCTTTGTGTTACAGTACCGTGCTGTGCCGAATCGTTTAAGAACAAGCGTTGGTTATTCTACAGTAACTTCTAATTCTACATTACGCTATTTAAGACTTGTTATTGTACTAGCATTGGTAGTGTATTGTAGAGGGTATATCAGGTTAGTCTATAGCAATTAGTTGATTCATCGAGTATAAATTTGTATAATATTACTTTTTGCAGTCTAAATAAACGTAGAAGCAATATATATTGCTATATGTATATTTTGCAGTTCACGTAAATATATATACATGTATAATATTTAAACTCTTGAAAAGCTAAATTAAAATATGTCTAACAATTAAAATTATATAAAAAGGTCTTAAGAAAACAAAAAAAATGACGTCATTTTTGACAAAGGTTACTGTTCTACCTTGTAGGTTTTGTTACCGTACGTTCAGTATCACATTATGTAGAACAAAGGTTCAAATGTCATAAAAAGATTAAGAAATATTTGACAGTACAATCCAATACGAAGCGATCAATCCATTCGCAGTAGATGACCACACATTATTGATATTGTTATACGACCCCCAGAAGCGAAGGTTTCTGAACATGTCACTCTATAAACAAACGTATGACACGGCGATAAACAGTGATCCAAATCATTCTGACTAAATGTTGATTTTTCTAATTTTTGTCGCCGTTTGTTCGGCATCGCGTCATGTAGCACCGAATTCCAAATGTTACTCTCAATCGTTTGACAAAGCTGTCCAAAGTGGTTCCTTTAAGACACCCGGCTTCCCCAAAGGCTATCAACCCAACTGGGAATGTGTGTTCGACATACAGCCATCAGAGCAACAAGCGGTTGCGTTGACAATACAGTACTTTTCTACAGAGCAGTTCCATGACTATGCCACGATATATCATCTTATCAACATTGATGGTCAGGTCAAGGCGGTCAAACATGCCGTGTATGTTTTGTGGAATTTTTATGTTTTAAAACTTTTGAATTTGAAAAATTCAAAATATTTTTTAAAAAATTTTAAGTATGTGTATTTGGCCGATTCCATTCCAGACTAACTGGTACCGATGTTACCCAAACCAGATACTACTCTCAAGACGGTGGTGGCCTCAGAGTGGTCTTCAAGTCTGACTTCTCAGAATCCGATTACGCTGGTTTTATGATGGAGTTCAGTAGATTCGACTCAGCTACTAGACCATCTAAAGTGTGTCCATCTATTTTTCACACTGCTACAGAGACGCTACAAGAAGTTAGTGTAGGAAACAGAACACACGGCATCTACTGCGTGCTACAGATCAACTCAACAAGTGCAATTGAGTTGAATGTAAACGAACTAAACTCTTATGCATCGATTGAAGTTTACGAGACTGAGAACTTTATGCAAGAAGGACGACGGAGCTCCAAGGTTTTGTCAAGGTAAAATACAGTATTTAGCGTCAATTTATTTTGCAATTTCTAAAGTAATATAAATCAAAGCAATGTGCGTTAAGTTTACAGAATAGTTACTCACCTTAAGCTCCAATACTTTCAGATTGAATGGAATATTGCACGACTTTCTACCGTTCCAAATTGTCAGTCGGACAAATTCAATTACAATATCAATGAAGAAGGTTCAATCGTACAATATCAGCTTTAAAAAAGTCGAAAGTCGTACGTAAACTTTTAAAATTGATAATTTTATATCTTCTTTTTACCTAATCTTTCAATTTTCACATTTTTTGATAACAACATATTTTTAATTTAAAAATTTTAAATTTTTTAACCAACTATGGTCATATATTATAGCCTGTTCATGCAAAACAGAAACCTTTGACTTGACAGCCGGCTCGAAAGACTACGTTTCACCTGGATGGCCCATTGAATACTGTGACAATTCCAATTGTACTGCACATTTTGTCGCCACTTCAAGTGGCCTAAAGCGGAATGACATCAGAGCAATCAGATTCAAGTTCAACGAAGTCGAAATGGAACCAAGCCATGACTTCCTGTCATTTTATGAAGACGACCTGTTACTTAAAAAGTATAGTATAATACAAAGCTTTCCTATTTTAATATTGGTCAAACGATAGAGCGTACGAGTAATACTGATACTCGTACTAATAGTAAAGTACAGTAATAATCTTACATTTCAGATACTCTCCAAACCAAATGTTCGATGACAGTCCTCTTACATACTTTACTGTGCAGCATGACAACGCGATGGTAACTTTTCAATCTGATGTGTCGCTCAGCTACAAAGGCTTCAACATTACTGCGGAAGCCATAACAGTACCAAAGGATTGTCGTTGTCCCAGCTTAGTGAATAACAAAATTGAATTCAACATCAAGGCTTACTGTAAATACCTTGATTGCTTCTGGGGATTGATTCCACCGCAGGATAAGGTAAGTTTGCTTATACTAATCTCTTGTCATAAAATTATTATGAATATTAGTATTATTAGCTAGTTACAGTATATAAAATATTTATTTATCCAGAAATATAAAATACGACCGATCCGCGGTCTAGTTGTTTAGAGACTTCTTAGTTTTTGGCCAAATCGGCCTACCTATAAACAGTTTTTGCAAGATAAAAAAGACCTTCTTTGTTCTGGCCCGGTTCTATATTTTTGTAAACATGTTTTTGTATTTCTTAACTCGCAACTTCGCGACACTCTATAATCTATGGTATGTACCATTAAGAATACTTACATTGTATTTTTTTTGAAAATCAACTTACTTTATAATATGACTGTCATACATGGCTATGCTCATGAATAAGTTATCATTACCATAATATCATAAAACTGATTCTTATCAACAAATTCTTACAGTCAGCCGATTACCGCGTAATCTTCAAAACCGAATTCTGGCTTGACGACGACAACGAGTTTGTAGAATTCTTCACCGACTTTCCCGACCACTTTGGCAGTCATATTATAAAGTAAGTTGAATTTAAAACATCACTTACACTTTTAGGAACACCAAACTTGTACCCGAAATGTCGCTTGGTGATCAGCCAACGAAGAATAGAATCGTTATACCTACTGAGGATGTGGCCAAAATATGGTATCACAGAGAGAGCGACGTAGTGGACAGTAGGGATCACTACTTGAGTATGGAAGTAGAATGGAAAGAGCGTATGTTAACCTTTTGTTACACTTTTATACAAATGAGTAACAAGAATGGTGCACATTGTATTAGACAATAAAAAAGCTGTTTAATATACATCACTAGGTTTTTAACATAAACATCACTTCTTCAACTTATAGGATGCGTATGTCCACCAGCGACACTACAAGCCAAAGAAGACTGGCAAGAGTTGACTTCTCCAGACTACCCTGACCCATATTGTGATGGTATGAACTGTACCCATGTCATTGTGGCTCCAAAAGATACGATCGTTCAGCTGAATGTGACCCTACTTGATTTAGAAATGAATCTGGATACAGTGACAATATTTGACGGAGATTCTGTCAATGCGACTAAAATCGACCAGTAAGTGAAAATCGTCGGCATATTGATAGAATCCCTAGATTGGAAAGTACATGTTATCAATTTCCTTATTTATAGTATGAAACACAGCAATTAAGCCTTTTAAAAGTTGATTATTTTGACTTCTTGCTGTTTTTACCGTATCTATTATACTTTTACTATACCTAGTATATCTATTTCAGACTCTCCGGCCTGGAATACTTTACCAATTACATCCAAAGCTCGGATCGTTTTATGACATTGTACTTCAAGTCCGATCTGAGCATGGCTACCGGTGGATACGTACTACATTATCGCTGCAGTAAACCGGAACATCCGACGTCGTCTTTCACAGCGTTCCATGCTTTCGTTGGCGTGCTTGTTGTAGGCATTATTGGATCACTATTCGTTATAGCCAAGAAACATCGCTTTCATGAAACAATATTTGAAACAGTTGGTGTTGATCAGAGGTGAGACTACAATAATTTAACTTTAAAGTAGTACGAGACAATAAGCTCTTGCGAAAAATTTTAAAATTTTGGAAGTTGAAATATTACCTCAATTATAAAAATTAAAAGTATCAGATTGATGTTACCTAAACACCAATTTTAGACTACTATCAATGAACTCTCTAATACAATCCGTACAAGAAATGACAGGTAACAGTAACAATAACAACCAGCCCAGAGATCCGTTTGCTAACTGATCTCCCTTCACATTATGATATAATTCAAAAATGTAAATTGTTACCAAAAACTGTAAAAAACTATATAATATACTTTTCATTGTAAAAATTAACTGCGTTCTAGCAATAAATTATTGTTTAACTAATTAAAACACGATTTCTAGCTATAAATTCAACAATAAGGATACAACTGGCAAGGAGAAGAAGCCCAGCACATATTGTAAACAAGCCAACAAACACGTTCAGTTCTGTAATATTATAAGTTAGACTTTTAAACCACTGTAATATAATTTTCAAAAGCCTTGAAAAATTCACAACTAGCAAACGAACTTTGTCAAGCATTACTTACGTAGAGCATCCCCCAATACAAAATTGTCACATACAGAAACCAACTTCAGCGTATTATACCTTCTGTATATGTTGGTCAACCTCCTCTTGTTCTCTCGTATAGCTTTGTTGAACAATGGTAGTAAAGTACTGTTTTTAGGTAACATAATATGTGCACCAATACTAGGAAACGTCACTTTGGTATGTTTGATATCACAGTATCTTTTGGCCTCCAAATAACTACCCGTATCCGAGTGAACATAAATCAGATCACCGTGATCTCGCACTCGCGATATTATCTCTAAAATAGGTATAAGCTTAACATGTTAACCATATAATGTCAGAGATTCGGCCAATATTCGTATATTTTGAATTCAAAATAACAAAGAAAATAACCTTACTCATAGGATCCACCAACTCAGCCGTGTGTCCTTTTAATGCCGTCGTAAGTTTGAAGTAACTTTCACCCGTTTCATTATAAAACCATTCGGTATTCCCTTGAGATATCAGCCGTCTATGCCCTTTGGCAATCTGATCGAAAATGTAGCCTTCATTCAGAATGGCATCGTGCTTGTCCACTATAATAATCGATGCCAAAAACCATGAGGTTAATATACCCAAAAACATAGAACATTGTAACAGTGAAAACAGCCAGAGGGAGAACTTCCCGGCAAAGAAATAAAGTTTGGTCGAAGCTGCTTGGAACAGCTGAAGACGGATCACACTCCATACCAACTAAATTTATAGTTTGATTATTAACAAAAGCATATTATTATCAAACGTACTATAAACTACAAAATACACGTTTTAATTTCATAAAAATAGTAATATTACCCTTACCTCCCTGTTTCTGACGTTTTTCTTAAATTTCCAACGTATTTCAATCTGGTTCACAAAACAAACAAATACACATTCCAAAATTAAAATAACGAAGAACAGAGCCCATGTTGAGTTATCATAAACTTTAAAGATGTTCCACCAACCTTCATCCATCGCTTCTGCGACGTATATCATTATATAACCGTCTACCTATAACGATATACAATTTTAGGTAATACATTTACATAAGCACGTCCCTAAATAGCTAAAAACAAGTAAAATATGACTCAAAAGTGAAAGTACTTTACCTCATACATAGTATCGGTTAGATCAGCAACTTCCATGCGTTCGGCCGTTTTTTGAAAAGGAATTCCAACAGAATTGTAGTTCAATGTGATCATACGTTCTGTAATCGACTCTAGATCTTCAAACTTTATGTCGCTTTTCATAACAGGTTCCAATCTGTAGTCAATCTCTCTTGCAATCAATTTGAATATCTAAAACGAGATAACTTTGATAACATAAAATATATTTGAGAAACCAAAAGCACAATTTCTACTAAACATTGATTTTACAAAAACAAACATTTGCTCTTAAATATTGCCAACTTACATCGTACATCAATCCCGGATAACCGCAAGACTTCGCTATCGCATCCCCAACAACACAATCAGCATAGTTAATATAAGGAAAATGATTGGGAAACGTTACTCTGAGCACTTTGCGCTCATCCGTTGTATTCATTATATTACACCTACACAGACAGAGCAAACACAAAAATGACCAAAATGAAAGTGATGCTGCAAAGCACCAAAACGCTATCCAATTTCACGTTTCCTTGGCATTTTAGGTTTATTCTTTGATTTAAAAGGAAATATGTGCCATAGGGTCACATAGATGAAGTTGAAATATATCGATGAATTATTGAACTAAACCGCTTTGATTAAAACTTTGAATTAATGTTGTAAAAGCCAAAACAAGGCTAAATAAGCTAACGACAAATTATTTCTCGTAAATATTTGATCGTATAACATGTCAATTTTTGGTCTGATTTTGAAATAATTTATTTCTGAAACAAACTTGTATTTACTTGTTTTCAGTACCAAAAATGGCTAGTATTACGACTAGTCGCGACTCCACATCTCGATAATCAAGCAAAGACTCCTTTAACGGCATTTGGGAAGCCGATCTTGCCAGTGTAGTCAAGCACGATGCAGTAGCGCTGGAAGAACGACGAACCTAAGACAAATTGTTGTGTAGCATCTTTCTCAGCGACCTTCAGATGGAATTGACATTGCTTGTTGCCGACTGAGCTGGTGAGAGCACCCACATCTTGGAAGTAGTTGAAGTTGTTGATGTTAAGGTTGATCAGGTTTTGTGATGTTGGACATGATCCGACGTAAGCTTTGGTCAGTGGGTCTGTTCGGATATCGTAGTAATAGACAATAGCATTAAAAAGCACTTGAGGCACGGTGAGGTCGTGCTGATTGAGGTTGATGACAGCCTAAAATGTCATAATTGCCAAGAGGAAAAGTTGTTAATATTTTTGCGAAACAAGGTTATAGCCTTTCCTATGTTGTGTTACTTATATAAAATGCTTATGTGTATGCTTACTTTGCTTCGATTGGCTCGCAACTGACCAAACGTCCCTGATTCAATATTAAATTCCCAGTTTTCAGCAGATGTTAAAGGTACAGGTTGATAAGTTGTGTTACAGACCCTGCTGTCGACGTAGCCAAATGACAAAAGTCCATCAACAACAGCTTTCGTCTGATTTCCGTTGATCCAGACGTTGACAATTGGTTGGGAAATTAAATTGCGGCTAGCCAGTTGTTTGACAACACTTTTCTCCTTGTTTTCGTTGTTGATTGCCAGACCAAAAACTCCATCGTATTGAGTTTGTTCGTATGATTCGGGGACATCTTTTACTACACCAAATTTAACATTACGAGCTGTGAAAGCGGGTTTATGTTTGGGTCCGAGACTGAGTTGGTCGTATATCAAGTCGGCTGTCAGTGAGTCTTCTTTGTATTGGAAGGTCTGCGATTTTCCAGCTAAAATTATATTTTATCTAGAATTGACGTAGTCAAATGATGTATTGTTGGATTTACGTGTTAAAACGGACTTATAAGCGCGTTGTTTAAGCTGACCTAAACTATATGGTTTAAAAACTACGGTAAAACAACAAACCTGTGATCAAGGTGTTTGACTTTTTGGTGTTGAAGACGCCTTTGTGGGTACAGGTTCCTGTCAGTTCTGGATCGACTGGACGTTCGTCGTTCTGTGCGGCTTCACAGCAATGTGCCGAACATTCTTGGTCACAGATTTCAGCTGTAATTTGCAATTTTATTTATGTATATATGTGTACTTGGTGTTGCACTTTACTACGCGGTATGAAACCTATTGATACAAAAATATAGATTTATTTTTAAATATTTTATGAATCTTGAGATTACTTACGAATGCTGCATTCCTCGTTACATTTACACTCTTCTGACGGTACCCATAATAAAGAACTGTTGAAGTCTAAAGCTACCGTGATATCTTGAAGGGGAGAGCCGACTGATATTACGCCTAAAATTAAAATTATGGTTTAAAAGCTTGTTTTCTCTATTTTTAAATTATAAAAATATTTTTAGATTTTTTAAAAATATGAAAACGTACCAACAAAGTTGTTGTCGAGGTTCTCCAGCCTTCCTCCAATCAGTCCACTTTTTGATTTATGCAAATTTTTCTTAATAGAGATTTGGAACGCATCACAAGCTAATATTTGAAAACATAAAGTAATACAGAGCAATTTGGTCAGCATGACAAGTCTCTTGATTAATTAAACTTGACTTTTGTTTATTATATACCTCTTCTTATCGTTAAAACAATTATCAAATGAGAATAAAGTAGGCGTTAGGGATAGGTCGAGGACATCACGTCATCCGGTGATATCATTTGTACTAGTATGGTTATTAAAATACAGTGAAACCTCTCTATAAGGAACTTCAGTATAATGAACAACTTTGCATCCCTGGATAACACTGCACAGTGCTTTTAAAACTCCTGTAAACCTCTCCATAACAAACAAATTTTAAATACAGTTCATAATCAAAAAAAATTATTGTTAGTGTTGTTTTCTGTCTATCACAACATAAAAATGATTTGTTGCAAATCCAAAAATATTTTACTTTACTTTTATCTTTCAAACTCTGTATTACTTATTATAATTATGACCAAATATATTTTGATCAATAAGACCGCCAAGACAACAACATGCTTAACTGATGTGCCTATCCCACGCATTCTTGCTTCATCACCACTCCTTAAAACGTCACTTATTAATATGAGATAAATTAACAAAACTTGATAACCCTTATCTTGCCATTCTGAACAATAGTATATAACAGCCTAGTTTGTTTGTAAGTTTCTAACTTAAGCTTCTATAGTAAACATGAAGTCGCTAATCTTCTGTCTTCTTATTGTAGCTACTACAACTTGTTTTGAGATCCCAGTAAAACGTGTGGTAAAGAGTAAGGAAGCTGCAGTTAATGGTGTACCTCTTGACAAGGAAACGGGATCGTTCGTTGGAGTAGTTTCATTAGGAACGCCAGGCCAAGACTTTAACCTTGCCTTTAGTACGAACACTTCAGCTTTGTGGGTACCAAATACCAGCTGTTCTTGTGGAGAGAAGTGCAAAAATGGTAAGTTTTGTACTTGGTTCATTTAGTTACTTAGACATTATTATTTTGAGTACTACCTATCATAATATAAAAAATAGCATAGCAAAGTAAAAAATGTCATTAAAACATAACCATTTTAGCCCGACTATGTCCTCAGCTATGCGAAGCTCACTGTTGTTCCAAGTCAGCCTTGAGCAATTCTTCAGGAAGCTGTTCCAATAAGAATACTTTCAATGTCGAAGAATCAAGATCATTTATTGCAGGTTCGTATTCAAGCTGCTCACATTTCAGCTTTTTCGTTGAAACATACTATAACTAATTTTTAAGAAAGATTAGCAAATTTTAATTTTTATAAGTTATATTGTATTTCAGTTGATGAAACAGCCAATATCCCCTTCCTTGACAGTAACTTAACAGCCCAACTTGGCTACGACACCTTACGAATGGGACCACACTACCGCCCCGGCCTCACCGCCAACAACATTCAATTCGGAGTTGTCAACGAATTCGAAGGCCAATACCAAGATGTAACATACGATGGAATCTTCGGCCTTGGTCTAGAATCAGTGGAAGGAGTGTCATCTCCAATCAAACAACTATATTCTACTGGAGTCATCCCGAGCCCCTTACTGAGTGCTTTCTTCGTAGCTAGGACAGAAAACAATGTTGTGGATGGAGTTTTAACATTGGGACAGGAAGATACTACAAGATGCAAAAAGAGTAACCATTTCTTCAATGTGGAAGACAACTGGGTATTTATTCCCTGTACCTGCTTTTAACTTTACGTCGAGTTACGGTTACATTAATCAATCGCACAAGGTAATATACAAAACATATCATTAGCAAACTGGAAAAAGTTACTATTAGCAAGGCATATACATATTATACTTATAAACTAACCTCAAAAAGTAAAAAACTGACAAAATACTATCAACTACTAACTAAACCATTTAAGGGTACCATTGACCTCTCATCCGACTACATCTACGTCCCTCGCGAAGTCTTACAAGTCGTAGCCAGCTTCTTCGACTCAAAGATCGATATCATTACTGGACGTGTAGCTGTCAATTGCAATCGCAATACCTATCTCTACTTTACTGTTGGTGGCACTTATTCCCGCGTTTTTTCAAACCAGATAATGGAACCATACAGCGGTGCTCAATGTCTCCTGAAACTGAAAGTTTCGCCTGTAGACGCTCCAGTTCAATATAAATTCGGACTACCTTTGTTCACGAACAACTGTCTAGTCCTCGACTTTAACGGTAAAATGGCCGTCCCAGAAAAAAATGATTAATATTTTACTTGAAAGATCACTCAGTGAAAAATAAATTATGCTGACTTAACTGTGTATACTATTGTTAAAACTTTATGTGCTCCTAAAGTAAAGAATAGCGAAATTACACTTGGCATTCCAAATCACAAAAACGAACCAAAATACAGCAAATTTCGTTGGAATTCCCATGAAAAACAAAAATTTGAATTTCCAATTTTGAAAAGTTTGTGGAAAAAGGTTATTTCTACAAATCACCGGCAAAAAGTACGGTCGCTCGAAACCCTCGTATGCTCAATGACAGATAATACCAAGCCCAAGAGTTCGTCGAGCTCGGAATCCGGCAAGAACGGACCATCTGAAGAAGAACTGAAGTTGTTGCGTGCCAAATTTCACAATCGTTTCCATAAGTTCTCAAATAATATGGATACTGGGTAAGTCTTAATTTTGACAATAATATATAAAAACTACCCTGTCTATTATTTAATCTTTATATCTTGATCTAATAGTAAAAAAACCTTGATTTTAGTGGCGTTAAAATCAAAGGCTCGAAGCCAAAACCTCTCAAAAAGAAAAAATCAATTTGGGATGAGGAATTTGCACCTACAATCTACGAAGAAGTCGATGCGCCAAGACGCCCTGCCGTCGCTAGGATGTACACTCGGTAAGTTAAGTTTTGTAGGGTTTAGCATAACACTGTATGTTTGATAAACTCTTTCGGACATTAAAAGCCAATTTTTTTCAGAGACATGAAGCCGAAAGAGACCTCTCCTAGTCAAAGTGAAAAGGTTACCAAACACAAAATTGCCAAGTAAGTCATTGTTTCACATTGCAAACTAAAATTAATAATATTTAAGCTAAAAATAGTTTTATTTTACACTATCTTACTACTCCTGTTTATAATTCCATCTTTAGCGATTCACTTGACAAATCTATCAAAGAAGTTCCCACCAAAAAAGAAAAGAAGAAAAAGAGGTCAAAGAGGACGAAACACATAAAGAAACAAGCCAAAGCTGAACCAAAACGTACCAAGAAGACTAGTACGGTAAGTTATACGCTCAATTTTCATCTTTATTAAAATACTTTTTTAAAGTTGTCAAGTATATAATGACTTTCATTATACTAACCTTGTTTTTAGGTGTCCCCTGGTACAACCGAAACTGAAGACGAAGCACCTCACAAGAAAATCAAAGGAAAAACATCAAAAAGTAAAAAGAGCGAAGCTGCCATTTCAGAAGACAACAACGAAGTGGCTAGAAGACCAAAAAAATCAAAAAAAAGTTCTACCGTAAGAAGTTACCTTCAACATTAAAATATATAAGATTTCTTTAATTAGTATCTTAAAACAAGGTTCGCGAGAAAATCGAACATTGAACGGACAGGGGCGGCACATGGAAAAAAAAGTATTTTTAAATCTTTTTGTTTTTTGACCAATGATAGTACTCATTAAGTAGAATCAAAAAATATTTTCAAAAAAAAATTTTTTTTGGGTTACTGTAGGAGTACTGTAGATTTTACTTAAATTTTGTAAGTTGTTTGTCTGTTAACCGGATTTGGATGAAACTTCTTTTGTTTGATAGAGGACTTAATACAAAGAACTTTTGCTCTTGACTACTTTTTCCATTATGCCCGGAAGGCATTTAAAAATTTAAAAAACTTCAAAAAATGGTAAAAAATATTACAGTATGCTATTTTCCTCAAAATAAAAGCACTTTGGGAAGACGTTTTCTCTACGAATTATTAAAACAGAGGTAAGTATCGTTAAAATGAGTGTAGCCACGTTTCCTGAAATTGGGGCAAACGTGAGTTATGAGGTCGTCAACCTAAGGCAGTTACTCATTTTGACTTATCATAATATTATAACTTGCCTCAAAATGCTTCTAAACGGTTAAAAATTTTTTTACTTTCTTATTTTGACTTTATTTATTGATTTTAATTAATTTTTATTGATAAAAAAGTTTTTTTTGTTTTTGTATTTTTTAGACCCAGTGGGGACGCTAAATTTTAAAGATTTTTTTAAAATCCGAAATTTGTGCCATAAAGGTTTTAGACTATGCCGAGTTCGAAAATATGATTTTTTCTTTTGTTTACTGTATACTAGAGTACTGTACGAGTCCGGTAGGTTCAATATCTCTATAACGAAGAGTCGTAGTGAGGTGGAGTCTTTATTATCATGTTGTATGGACAAGATATAGTACCTTATGTTAAAGAAAAAAGTTCTATATACATTTTTACCGTAGTAAAATTTCGTATCTTGAGTATACAGTAAACAAAAGAAAAAATCATATTTTCGAACTCGGCATAGTCTAAAACCTTTATGGCACAAATTTCGGATTTTAAAAAAATCTTTAAAATTTAGCGTCCCCACTGGGTCTAAAAAATACAAAAACAAAAAAAACTTTTTTATCAATAAAAATTAATTAAAATCAATAAATAAAGTCAAAATAAGAAAGTAAAAAAATTTTTAACCGTTTAGAAGCATTTTGAGGCAAGTTATAATATTATGATAAGTCAAAATGAGTAACTGCCTTAGGTTCACGACCTCATAACTCACGCTTGCCCCAATTTCAGGAAACGTGGCTACACTCATTTTAACGATACTTACCTCTGTTTTAATAATTCGTAAAGAAAACGTCTTCCCAAAGTGCTTTTATTTTGAGGAAAATGGCATACTGTAATATTTTTTACCATTTTTTGAAGTTTTTTAAATTTTTAAATGCCTTCCGGGCATAATGGAAAAAAGTAGTCAAGAGCAAAAGTTCTTTGTATTAAGTCCTCTATCAAACAAAAAAAAGTTTCATCCAAATCGGTTAACAGACAAACAACTTACAAAATTTAAGTAAAATCTACAGTACTCCTACAGTAACCCAAAAAAAATTTTTTTGAAAATATTTTTTGATTCTGCTTGATGAGTACTATCATTGGCCAAAAAACAAAAAGATTTAAAAATACTTTTTTTTCCATGTGCCACCCATGTTTGGTTCTCTCGCGAACCTTGTTTTAAGATAGATAAACAACCTTTTACAACACAAAAAATCAATATTTTTTTCAGATGACTCAACCCACATCTTCAGAAGGCGTCGATGGTCAAACACGAAAGAGTCCTACAAAGAAACTTCCTAAGATAGATCATCTTCCACCGTCTTCTGACCTCGACGATGAACCATCAAACAGAAAAACCAGGAAAAAGGTTTCGAAACGAGATCATCTTCCACCGTCTTCAGATGCCGATGACGATGTACAGCAAAAGGCTAAAACAAAGAAACGTCCAAAGATAGATCATCTACCGCCATCTTCTGATGCCGAAGAAGAACGGTCAGAAAGAACAGTTCGAAAGAAGCTTCCAGAAATCGACCATCTTCCACCAACTTCTGATGCCGATGATGAACCATCAAAAAGAAAAACCAGGAAAAAAGCTTCGAAGGCAGAACACCTTTCACCATCGTCAAATGCCGATGCTAAGCAGAAGACTAACCAAAGGAAACCTCCAAAAATAGATCGTCTTCCGCCGTCTTCTGATGCCGAAGAAGACCGGTCAGAAAGGGCAGTTAGAAAGAAGCTTCCAGAAATCGACCATCTTCCTCCATCTTCAGAAGCCGGATCATCGGAAGCTGTATCAAGTCAGCGAGAAAAGAAGCCGACTAGACCAAAACCTATGTCTGCTGAATCTGCATCACGTGCGGTACCAGCTTCACCTAAGTCTCCAAGGAGTGCTGAAGTAGATGCATCATCTCCAGGCCAAAACTCAGAGAAAGAAATGAAAGCTGAACTAGTACCAGTTCAAAAAGATGGCACTGGATCCATTAACGTCAGTTTGACAGATATAGACACCTTGTCTGCGACGTCGCCAACCTCAACACTAATATCAGACAGAGGAGCCACCAAAGCTGAAAAGAAGGAGAAGAAGAAGGAAATCAAAAAAGGTGAGTTTACCAGAGTCTAACAATACGATTAACAATATGTTTTAGCCATGAAAGACAAGCTGTTTGAAGAACTCACAGACGACATTCAACTAGACGACAAAGTTTTACAAGAAATTGCTGAAGATTTGAAAAAAGGAAAAAGTTATGATCCTAACCTGATTGATCAGAAGTTGGCCAACAAGATTCTGGAAGCTGAGAAAGCACCAACTGAAGACGACTTGAAGAAGAAGCAACAAGAGGTACCAAAATTTCATAACTTTGATTTTTTCGACGAAATCTTGTCAAACGGAGTCATTTTATACGCTGCAAAAGGTCCAAAAATATTTTCAAGGAAATGCAAAATCTTGTTTTTTTTAAATTTTGACGCCGTTCCTTACTTTTTTATCCTTAATTTTAATATATTTTATGAGTAATTTACGTTTTTACTTTTAAAATCCAGGAATACGAAAAGAGTGACGTCGCGACCAAGATCGTGAACAAATTGACAACGAGCAACGTCCTTGGCAAAGTATTGAAGCCGGAAGAACTCCAATTACTTTCTGAATATTTCAGTGGGAAAGTTGAACTAAACGATGAAGTTCTGAACGTTCTCAACGTAGCGTTGGAGAAGATTCTCGACAGAGCACCAGAGTTCTACGACAACAAGGAAGAGCTGAAGAAGTTCTTACAGAATCGTGATCACGCTAAAAAGCAGCTTTTGGATGCTCTATTGTCTAGAAAGGCAGGATTCTTGAAGAATCTGTATGGAAATGCTTTCTTTTATGCTGAAATGTTGAGTCAGAAGTATTATGACGCTGTCAAGTTTGCGGAATCAGCCAAACAGAACATTACCAAGAGTTATGCCAGAGGTGTGAAAGCGGTAAATGAAAGGTACAGTCAAGGAGTTAAAGGTCAGTTTATAAGTTATTATATAAACTCGAAAATGTGCTTGATTTAAAAAAAGTTAAGTTTTACAAATTCGAAATGAGATTTTGAAATTTGAAAATCATTTTGTAGTTTTTTGTAGTTTTGACGCTTTACTTTTGTGAGCGGTTGTGTTTTTAAAGATTCTGCGAGATGCCAAAAGTTTTTGAAAGTTTACATGATGGTAGTGTTTGTATTGTTTTATTTTCTTTATCCATAGCATTTATAATATTCTTTTTTTTTAATTTAGCGTTATGTTTTTATATACTAATGATCCGTTTTACAGTGAGCCGCGATGTGGCCAATTCAGCTCAGGACATGAAGAACAAGTATTATGATCCGGCAGCTATTGCCACGAAGGACTTGGTGGAGTTAACTAAGAAGGATTACTCCGAAACCGAGAACCCGGAGCACAAAGAACGAAAGGAGAAGCTGTGGCAGGAATCAGGATGGTTGAAGAGAGGCTGGTGGTTTGCTGTCAAGGTTGCTGTGGCATTCGCACAGGATACGTCGATGCACAAGAGGATTGGAGAGCCGGTTCCAGACAAAAAGGATGTTGAGGATACTATCAAGGGTGCCCCGAGTAAGTTTTTTGTTTACTCCATAATTGTCTTGAAGAATAATTACTTTTTTTTGCAAAAAAATAGTGGTTTATGCCAATTTTAACCGATTTAAACGTCTAGGCCTTCCAAATAGTTCTAAATCTGCTCCAGATCTCACGGACAAGACTCAAGATCCATCAAAAACTGAATCTGAAGCTCCAGCTGCTCATGGCAAAGAGAAAGAAGCAGTAGCCTCTTCCGATCACTTGTATGAGAGCCTGGATTCTGCTCCACCTTTGGATGGAAAAGAAGCCGAGAAGCCAGGACCTTCTGATCCTAAAGACAAGTAAAAGGAAATGGACCTGCTGAAAAGCATTGAGTTGTAATTTTACTTGTAAATAAACGATTTTAACTCGGATTTTGGTGTTCTGTATCTTTTGCTATCTGGTATGTATCCGTCTATTGACATAAAGTTGAAGAGTTAAGAGTAAAGACCTCTATGGTAAAAGTAATTACACTTCTGGGAAGTTAAGCATATGGTCATGTAATTTTATGGATCTAGGCTTTTCACCTAAACCGACAGCTGACGGGCTTAAAAGTTTTTTCTCACTTGCACAACTTCCAGAAATCATTTTTGTGGGTTGTTTTTGGCCATTTTTTATTTTTCACACGATTGTTCGGTCAAAAAGATTGTAGAACTTTTAGTTATTAGTAAACCTAAGATTAAACTTTAATTTTCTAGTATTTTTTCGAACAAGGAATGTTATTAACGTGTACTTTTGTTGTGATAAGAGTATTTGTAAAACATTATTTTAAATTTTGAGGATCATAATTTGAATTTTACGTAAAAAGTAGTGTTTATTTGTCGAGTAGGTTAATATCTAAAATCCTTTAAATGACTTAAAGCCGAAAGTGCGGCTTAATTTTTGAAGTGGTTTGTTTATGTGCCGAAAGCAAAAATTAAATTTACTTGTAATTGTTGCTTTTGCGAAAGGGAATGTTTCATTTTAAAGCTCGTACGAGATAGTTTTTAAAAATATAATTTATTTCACTAATTTTGCCTTAGGCACTTTAATATTCTTTTCAAAGAAATCATCTGTCGTTTCAGGATAGTTCTATGAACGTTTTGCTCAATGTAAGAATTAAGGCCTCCTTCACGAATTTATAAACCGAATTGTCCGCAAAAGTCATTTCTACGAACTTTTAGTCAAGACGTCTATGTCACTTTTCATGTCACTTTTATCAAATTTTAATTTAATTTACGAAACTGATTCAATTTCGGCCAAAACTATTTTCCAAAAATTGTTCGAAAATGTTTTGTCGTATTTCCCCACCCACAACAAAGGCTTTTCTTGTCGCTATCTGCAATCTTTTATCGAGTAATCCCGAGGGCATTGGCGGTGCAACAAGATGCTCAAATGCGAAGTAATAGTAGTAACGACCGGAATGAAATTACCCGTCTTAAAACTCTTTCGAGTATGGTGTGGATTGTTGACAGCATTGTCATACGACCACAATATGTATGTATTGTTGAGGGTTTATTATTATTTACCGTGCCAAGTGTATTGTCATGAAATTTTTTAAAAATTTAAAATTTTTAGGTATTCGTAGTTATTGTGTTAGCTACAGTACGTGCATTTTCAAATATTTTACAAAACTTGAGTTTGGTTATGTGGCTTTTGTAAAAATATATTTTGAACTCAATTTTAAACCTATTTACATTTGATTCCTAAAAATTAAAATGCCATTTCTTTCTGCACAATGTCTCCCCGAAGCAGTTCCTTGAGCCGAATAAGCTTGTTAACCTTGTGCCACTTTATGAGCGCGTCTCATTAGCGGCCATGACAAACTGCGAGTCACAACAGAATGGTGTTTTGTTATTGAGAAGGGCGTTCACAATGGGCAAAAATAGATTTGCGAAAAGGAGGACGCTTTAACAAGATTTCCATCCTGGGAATGACGTTCCGGAAGCTGTTTCAGCACAGCACTGTTTGCTGTATGCTAATGTCAATGATGTTATGAAGAAAGGTTTTTTGGTTTTATATGTTTGGGTTTGTACTTAAATTGGATTTTCGACGTGATCTTCTTTCTATTTTGTTTTTTTGTGATTAACATGACTTTTAAAGACTTCGAAAACTGCTTTTTCAGCAAGAACCTTAACAATTGCTGATTTAAAGTTACTTTTACTATAAAAACGATCAAGAAACTCTTTTATAAACCTGTTGCCTTAAGAAATAAACGACAAGTAAAGTAGTGTTTTCAAAAACTCTTTATGTGTCATAGAATCCTCGAGACATTCAAGCGCAAAATTTCGCATTTTCAAAAACTGACCTTGAAATTTTACACTCGGCCAGGCTTTTGGCGGCCATAATGCAATAAATTATTATTGTTTTAAGGCTGGCTGGACATTTTTTACAAATCTTTTCTTAAATTGTTCTTTGCGCTTCTATACGATCGTATTTTAGCCTATTGTTAGGTTAAGTGTTAGCACAATTGAGAAACATGTACTGAGATAGTTATCAGTTGAAGGTCAATATTGTTCCATATATTCTCATATAATGCCATATTTATATATTTTATGCCCTGCTAGTAACAAATTAACTATGTATGAAACAATAAACTAAAACAATAGCTTTATTTAACGCGATAGTCTATTAATGAATGGCAATTCTCCCCCTCCGGTTTCCCATGATTTATATAAACCTTGAGGCTTGGCCGGGTTTTTGTTTTTAGTTCCGTTTTTGGCCTCCAAGACTCTTGAAACCGTTGAAAGACGGCACTCGAGTTTCTCGAGGAATTGCAAACTTTCCAATTTATATTTGCTTATGTTTGGAGTGACGAAAGTGAGAAAGATTACTGTCGGCTTATATTATATTACATTGCCGAAAAGCCTCTGTTTCGTCTTCTGAAGGCGCTGTTGGATTCTTCGGTTGGCGACGTTCAAGAGGTGGCCTTAGCTTGAAATTATTGAGATTTAGTTGTGTTCTAGGGGTGATTTTACTGTTTAGTTATATTATTATTGGTTTTATTGGCGTAAAATAGCATTTTTTGTTTTGTTTTTATGAATTTGATGATTTTACAGTATGATAATCGCTTTACATTAGAAAACGCTATGCAGTAGCCTATATGTTTATAAATACCAAATGAGTTATTAAATTCATTTTAAATTTTCAAAAATAGTTCAAAATTTTGTTAAAAATTTCAAAAATAGCTTTTAAAACTCCCCTTAAAATGTCAAATTTCAAAAACAATTTTTCGAACAAAACTTTACTTGTTGTTTCTGAAGGGGGAGGGGTGGTCAAACTACTCGGATTTATTCTTTGTACTGTCGCTTAGCTGTAAACAAAATCTGAACAGAATCTTTGCATTTTACATCAAGTTGTCTTACTTTCACACGAAAAGTTTGGTCAACAATTGATAAAACTATTCTGTAAAAACTAATTTTGGGGCATAATTTTAGGCTTATAAGATGATTCTGCTTACTTTTTGACCGTAAACTTCTTTATTTTTATTTTTTAAGCCATTTATTAAAGTTTTTTAATTGCACTGTGCAATATTCTGAAAACTTTTTTAGAACTAGTATAAATGTCTTAATTGACGAGCCTAGGCTATATCCAACTTAACACCCCCAAAACAAGACCTAAACTCGCTCACCCTCATCAACTTGTAACCCTAAGCACGTGCTATTAAATAGTAATTTGGGGAACTGCGGAAGCGTTGATTTGGACCGGAAACACTTTTCGGGCCGTCTTCTCGACCTTTTCTCCCCTCAGGGCACAAACCCATTTATTTCTCTTCTTTACTGTGCACGTCTTGAATCTAAAGCCCGTCTAAGCCTATGAATTTATTTTGGCTTTATATGGGCATGGTGACCATGAATTATTAAATGTGCAATCATGCAGTCATGACATTATTTATATCCGCCGCCGCCTTTTTCGACGTTTTGCGAACATGAATACGGGATTATTGAATGGGTTCGAGACGTTTTTGGTTTTCGAAGTGGGGACGTGAAGAGACTATGTGTTGTATTCTAGGATATTATGACATGATTTGTCAACATTTTGTTAAAGTTTAGTTTATGTTTAACTTATTAGCAAGTCTTGCAAAATCTTATCAATTTATAACTTTTTAGTGGTGATATTAGGATAAATTTCTTGGTTTAATATCAGAATGTCACAAAAATCTTTTTATCAATGTAATAAGCCTTTACAGTTCAAAAAAAGGCAAACTTTTGTAAATTCCTGATAATAATGACCATAAAATTCAAATTTATATAACAAAAAATTAAAATTTGACATTTCGAGTATCGGAAATCAGCATCAGAATGTTTCTTCGGCCGCTAAAATAAAATAAAGCAAATTACCCGCGCGCGGCCCTCAGGCGGAAATTCGACGCCATTTTCACATCGAAAAATGACACGAAATGGGCGAGAAAGGCGCTAAAGTCTTGACTGTTTATATTCTCCAACATCGTATCTTGATTACATGGCCATGAACACGTGTTTTTTGAAAACGTTTCTTGAATTGTCAGCATGTTTTCTTGAGGTGACAAAGATTTTTAGTATGATCTGTTGTCATAAGATGCCTATAAAGTATGTCATCAAAAGACATCTGCGTCATACAGTATTTTACCGATTTCTATAGAGTTTACTCCATAAAACTCATAAACGGCGTATTATAGTACTTGTAATTAATAGCCATACTAATTTTTACCTAACCCACCACTGTGATTAGGCTTTTATTACCAAAAACAGTTTTATAACGCTAATACTCATAACTTTTATTACCTTTTCGTGACTCGCGTTTCGCGTGCTGTTTTAGTATCAACAATACTAAGAGTTTAGCCATGACCACGCCGGGTCACCAGCATATTAGTCATGCCCAGTCATCGGCCACATTACCATCGTTCCTGTACAAATCCACCCAGGATAGGAACAAGTTTTTTGCACATGGTAATTTACATACTATTGAAATTAAAAAATATTTTTAATTGAATTTTCTTGGTATAAAAATGCAGCTTAAACGTCTGTTTATAGCAGGTGGTCCGAATATGGATGAGCCAAAATTTTCAAAGTTGGGCATTTTGAATGGCTCATTCATATTTGACCAAACCTGATATTATCATAAATTAAATCTTTCTTATTTAAAATCATTTTAAAAAACATTTTAAAGCCAAATTTAATCGCCCTAAAATAGTCCGAAAAACTATGCCGAAGCTTCAGGTTACCTAATGATTTGTTTGAACATCTTTCAGCCAAAATGTCTACTTTTAGTTATGTTTTAGTCATCTTTTAAGGCATAATTTAGTTTATACTATTTTTACACAATGGCTATGGCCGTAAGGCTCCCTAAGAAAGGTAAAAACAGCTCATGTCTGCGCATTGAAATTAAATATACTGTAATTTATTATACTGTACAAATGATTTCAGAAACAATGACTGGTGATCTTGGACTGATAGGCTACGCTCTTACGTTTATATCTTACGTGTTATGTATAATCACCTTGCCTATATCTGCTTGTTTTTGTATAAAAGTAAGTTTTAATTGAAAGTTTTTACCCTATTCAGATTTCCTTTTACTATCCTACCCTGATTTCTTTGTACTACCCTGTCCTGCTTTCTTCACCTTACCCTACTTTTCTGTTCTACTCTTCTCTACTCTACCATACCATTATATAAATTTTTAGAAATATGCTTTTAGGTAGTTCAAGAATACGAAAGAGCAGTAATATTCAGGCTGGGTCGGTTGTTACCTGGTGGTGCACGTGGTCCGGGTATCTTCTTTGTATGTCCATGTATTGACACCTACAGAAAAGTTGACCTTAGGGTTTTGTCGTTTGGTGTGCCACCTCAAGAAGTATGTCTACAATTAATTTCTAAATTTCAAAAACTTTTAGACCGGTTTTATGAAAAAGTCAGTAGAAATACATATTACAGTTCATATTACAGTATACAGTTCACAAGGTAAAAATATAAATTTTAAACGTACCTTCCGTTTAGATCCTGTCCAAAGATTCAGTAACAGTAGCCGTGGACGTTGTCGTGTACTTTCGAGTATCAGATGCCACGATTTCAGTGACAAACATCGAGGATTCTTCCCAGTCTACAAAACTTCTTGCTCAAACTACACTACGTAACGTTTTAGGTACAAAAACGTTGGCTGAAATGTTATCTGACAGAGAAATGATTAGTCTACAGATGCAAGCAACCCTCGACGAGGCTACCTTGCCTTGGGGTATTAAAGTAGAAAGAGTTGAAATGAAAGATGTTAGACTGCCAGTCCAACTCCAACGAGCTATGGCCGCTGAAGCCGAAGCGAGTCGAGATGCTAGAGCCAAGGTAAGACTTTTGACGATTTTTCTCGAAAAAATTGCCAAAAATAAAATTTTGTAGTTAAACTATTGCCTATAGTAAGATTTTCATGAAGCTCAACTTTATTATTGTAGGTAATCGCAGCTACAGGAGAAAGAAATGCATCTCAAGCCTTGAGTGATGCAGCACAAGTTCTAGCTGAATCACCAACAGCAGTACAATTACGATACCTACAAACCTTGAATTCAATAAGTTCAGAGAAGAACAAAACCATTATATTCCCCTTCCCAATCGAGATGATAAAAGCTATAGGAAACATGGGAAGGTAAGGTTATTTTTTAATATAACTGTGACAATCATAGACATATCTTTTTTCTTAAAAATATATAAAAAGTAAAAGAATTCCTTCTTTTCCCTTATTAGATAGAGCTCTAATACGTTTGCCTTTTATCATAAACTTAACCTAGCCTGTTTAGGAAGAAGAAGAGCTCAGTTACGACGCGAAAACTTGATTAAAGTAAACTCATACTTCACAATTTGATGCATGGTGCTAAGACACAAGATACATGAACGATCTCACACATATCATTAGCGGTTATTTAATTTCCAATTTTTATAATAAATTTTTTACTTTTTGGGTCCCGCAACGAAAACAAAAAGAGCGAAAAATTAATTTGAAATAGTTAAAAAAAAGTATTTGACAAAATTTTGTTTCACAAGTTATTGTCGTATATAAAGTAAAATACGTTAGGTAAAGTACCTTAAATTTTTGAGCGTAGTTTTCTATTTTGAATTTTTTATTACATTGAAGATGTACTTTAAAGTATAATTGATATTTGTTGTTATTTCTTTAAAAGGTTGTAGTTAAATTGTTTTTGGCGCCAAAATCTTGTCTCTTTTTGCTTGGATTCAAGTTAAAAATATTTTATTTTATTTCAGCTGCCTAATATTTTATTCAATTCTTCACAATATTACAAAATGGAACTAAGTAACATAGAACATGAGATGCCATTGATATTTTGGCATGATAGGAAACAGCTCATGTCTGTGCATTGTCAACCGGTCGATGTTCCTGATCAGTATCACTCCAAAAGCTCGGTTAATGCTAAAATTTGCTTTAAAATATGTACAGCAAGTGTGCAGGACGAAGTTCGAGTTTGGGAGATAACGGTGAATCCAAGAAAAGATGTGAGTGAGGAGGATCCTTATGAAGTCAAAGTAAATTATGTTGCAAGCTTAGAAGGACACTCAAATCCGTTGAACTTTGCTATGTACTCGCCGAATGGTATGTTTTTATTTCTATTGTTCGTTTTTTAGGTAATAAGATTTCGAACTTTACGGTTTAAAGATGTTGACGCTTTTCTGTAACAGTTAAAACATAGTTCCGACTTAAGCTTTTTGAGTTTTTATATTGTGTGTTGTAAAATAAAAACTATCATATGAAAAGTTCTTGTTTTCAGGTCGTTTCATAGCATCAGGAGATGTTAGTGGAACACTGATAATCTGGAAGATATTTCCACGCGAAGAAGGTTTTGTTATGCCTGAAGAAGCAGCACTTAACGATGAGAAGGCCATGTTTGACATACCAGTGAACAAAGAAAATTGGAAGCGAGCTTTCTTACCTATCAGACATGAAGATGAAGTAAACTGTTCTGTTTTTTCTCCAAATTCTCAATTCATCTGTACTGCGTCGGAAGAGAATGCCGTCAGGTTGTTTAAGGTAGACAATGGTATGTTTTAACTTTATTTTTTTGAGTTTAGGTAATTGTAAATCGTGTATTATAAAGTTTCATTCAAAGTAACACAATTAATATTTTTAGGTAAAGCAGTGTGGAAGTTAACGAACTTCCGTCGGAAGATTACAGGGTTGGCCTGGGATCCTAATGGATACTACATTGTGACTTTGTCTACAGATCAACGGTTAGACATAATTTTGGCACAAAAAGGTCATCGTTTAAGAACGTGTCATTCTACCAAGCTGCCTGATCATCTGTTGGGTAATGGGGAGGTCATTAAAGGAATGTATTACAAGTTTTTCTTCGATCAACATACTTATGCTTTCACCAGGACTCCCCAATTCACGCCTTGTGGAGAACTTCTAATCACACCAGGTAAGGCATTTTTCTTTTTTGGGCTTTAAAATAACATTTATAACACAATTTATTATTAAAAAGTATTTGTTTTAGCTGCTCAACTTGAAAACTCTGAACAAGCGTTCTACGGTGTATACATATTCAGAAGATGTGATTTTGATAAATGTATGCCTTATCAAATGTACAGGACAGCTCGACCAACCGTTATGATATCTGTCATGCAAAAAAGGTTGGCATTAAGGGAAGAGGATAACCAAGAGCCTTTCGTCGATCTTCCTTATAGGTATAGTCTTTTGTTTACTTGCTTTAATTTTTGTTTAGTTGTTTTTATAAGTCTCGAGTTATTATATTGTTGTATTTAATGGTTGGTAGTAGCCATTAATTTTTACTTTTTAGATACATCTTTGCTGCCTTGTGTACCGAATCTATCTACATCTTCGACACACAATACCCTCAACCGATCGCCTACCTAACTGATCTCTCTTACGACAATCTCACTTCAATATCCTGGTCTCCAGACGGCAGAGTCTTATGTGTGTCATCTCTTGAAGGCTACAATCACTTTATTCACTTCAGAGGGAACGAGTTCAACGATGTAACTTCTCTTTCATTACAATCCTGCGAACTTCCCATTCTTCAGAAGCCAAAAGAAGAAAAAGCTCCAAAACCAACGTTGTCTGACATGGTTAACAAACCTTTAAAGAGCAGCTGAACAACTTTATATGTATATTTTAATAAGTTAAATAAAATTTACAATATTTTATATGTTTTCGTTTTATGGAAGAGTGCTATAATTTCAGCGTGTTTCGTTATATTTTATTTTACAGTGTTCTTATATCCTTGTTAAGCGTTGATTCATATATTCTGGCGATGCAGTTTGCGTAATTTCGCATTTCGCGCCCTAATTTTGATAATTTAAAATATTTTTTTTAACTTCAAAAAAAAGGAAAGAACTTTTTACTAGATATAAAGTTATTAAGCTTTAAAAGTATCTTCTGTTAAACCTTCAATCATGCATCCAGTCCAAGCTCCAACCTCAAGCAGCACAGGACAACAAGGACCAAGTACTCCAGTTCACAATGCTCCTCGAGGCGATCCTCATAACTTTCCCCCAACACCACAACGAGCCAATCCACCACAACCAGCTATGGAGTTTACTATGCAACAAATGGCTGAGAAAAGGCTTAAACTGAAGGAGTTATATGGCAAATAGTAAGTTCTTGACGTTTTTGTTTGATTTTAGGTAACATTATCGACTTATGGGGGTGTTTTTGGCTTTACAGTAAATGTCTCAATTTTTTTGCAGCGCCCAAAAGCCATTGCCACCGACAGCTTTGCAGTCAGTGTACACTGCAGTACCCACAAATTCTTCGTTGAACAATGATTTCCTTGTTGTTATGCCAAGATTGGATATAGATGAAACCGGGCCACCACAAATGATACCTCCCCTTGGAAATGTGCCAATTGTTAGGGAATCTTTTGCCATGAGGATGCGACCACGGTGAATATTTTTGGTTAGTAAAACGGGTAATCTTGAGTGATCATTAACGTATTTGTAATCAGTTTGTGTCACAATTAAATAGTTTAACTTATTTATCAATAAATCTATACTCCATTCCCTTTAAGAATAGTTTATAAAAAGGTCTTACCAGTTTAACACCCATTTATGAGAAAGATCGATATGAAAAGTGCAAAGTGACAGCACCATTAAGTGTAAATTTTACCCGAAATGCTATCCAAAAAAAGAAAAAAACCGGTAGTATCATAGCTCGTGTATCACATGAGAGTTTGTGTGAGGATGAGGTTCAGCTTGAGTAAACGATTCGATGGGCTTCAAAAGCAGCAAAGCGTCGTCTAGTTTATAGTAAGCCTTAAAAGTTTAGTTTAGCGATGGATTTTGAATCGTTAATGTGTCATCTAGGTATTTTTGGTATAGTTTCGCGTAAGCTAATGGAAAAGACACAATCAGTTTCTAAAGTTCAAAAAATTCGAATATGACATACCCCATTAGCATCGCCTTCACATAGGTAAGGTACCTTTGCCCATCTGACCAGCTCAAATCCATTTGGCCTCAAAACATTTGTAACAAACGTGTTCAAATGTTCTTCATAATGCCTTCCAAATACATTAATCACGGTGTCTAAAAACGATATTGGATGTTACCAAATTGTAGAAGATTAACTTCTTGTAAAACATAAAATAAATAACCTACCAGCTTTTGTCTTCCTTCTGCCATCTGGATGAAACTCAACATACTGCTTGATTGGGAGTACTATGGCCATTAGTACCATGCATTTGTCTCTTTTGGCAACATAAAAAAGATCTCTTAACAACTTGGCAGGATCAAAGAATCTATCCAAGAGGTTTAGGGCTGAAATCAAATTGAATGGTCCTTTTGACGTCCAGTCATCTTTTGGAAGCACTTCAAAACCTTTCTGACGTAAACGGTACTCCATTACCTAAAATTGAATAGTAAAATGTAAAAAATATATGGCCGGTTAGGAAATTAAAACATATGTTGATCATACTTTTAAAAAAATACGAGATATGAAAAGCTTTATCATTTTAGGCAGCCAGAGAGTTAAGTGTAAACTAACTTACGGTGCTTGCTTCTGTAGCATAAATCTTGCTAAAATATGGAGAAAAGTTCTTTGTAACATACCCATCGCCTGCTCCAAGATCAATCACCTAAAAAAAGTTTATTACAGGCAACAAGCATTGCTTATACAAATAACTTTATAACAAAAATTATTTGTTCATGGAATATTATACCTAAACCAATGTAAATCCTTACAGATTTCTCAGAACGGTCCCAACCGCCTGTATCTGCTCCTAGAAAAGCTCCGATTTGTTCAGAAGAAAACACGAACATCCTTCCACGTCCCAGGATCCCGTTTATCGTGGTTTTTGTAGTTATAGTTTGTAGAAATATAGTGCACATTCCATAAAATACCTAAAACTATAAAAATAACAGATAAACCAACTTACTTGAAGACAAAAGTTCTGGCTTAAGCTGATTGAGGTATTCAAAAACTCGTATGTTTGATCATCTACCGACAATGGATAATATATCGGTTTGAGATCGTCATGTACTAAAATCATGTTGGGATTATACCAAGGGTATGTGTCTATAGAATCTACAGGTGGTCGATTGTCCATGGCTTCAATCAGTTGTGCTATTCTACGTCCCCTCTGCATTACCAATAAAATAAAAGTAAACTTGGACTAGAAAGTTAATTTTTTCCCATGAAAATTAATTACAGAGAGAGACTTGGCCATAAGTTTGACTTGTGTCAGGTCTTGCGCGGACAAAATACTGTCCTACAAACTAGCACGACCTCGGAAGGTACTGGGTCGTGAAAGGTGGATGAATACTATATTTTTTATTAACTTTGATTTTGTTGTTTATTGGTTTACATAAAGTGACAGTATTTAATTTGTTAAACAAGGAGTTTATTGGATTAGTTGATGTTTTATTTGTCTTGTTTGATGATGTTTACTTATTTTAGATTGTTTTTTTACGCGAAGTTTTATTGATTAATTGTGTCACTAAAACATTTATCTACAATGAACGCATAAAATAATGTAGATAAAGGTATTGAACGATTTGGAAAATTAAAAATATGATTATGAACGAAAAACGCACACGAATACTATAACTATACATTATCAACTTCCAAACGTTTAGAAAAGGTTTGTTTTTGTATAAACAGAACATGTTGACTTTTTCGTACGATAAGATATAAACCAAATTAGGTATCAGTTCCGCCATCTTGAATATCACGTTTGTTTATTATTGCAAATATGAGATACATAAGATTAATTCAAAGGATTGGTTAGAGTTCTTCCAGTTGCACTTTCATTCCGTCAGTGCTCATAACTAACGTTCCGCTCAAATTTAGTTCGTCATCTCCTGGTACTGCCTTGACACGGTACTTTCGTAGCAACTTAACTAATGCCATTTTCTCCTCGAGGTAGGCCAGTCTCATTCCTATGCAAATTCGTGGACCTCCTCCAAATCCATAGATTTGTTCTGTTTTACATTCTTCCAGGAATCTGAAATTTAAAAGTTATGTTGTGGTAGGTATCGAAAGGAAAACGTATATGATCCCAATGCGACGCTGCTTAGGGCTAATATTGTTATAAGTTTTCTTACCGTTCTGGTCTAAATTTGTCAACATCTTCTCCAAACACGTCTTTTCTTCTGTGATATGACATGACATCGACTTCGAAGCAATCTCCTTTCTTCATAGGTATCTTCTTGTCGCCAATCAGGGAGTCTTGAGAACAAACACGGTTCAGAGCTCTGAAACAGTTATAGTCAACAGGTTTCCCAAATAATCAGGATACCACTTATTTTTGGCCTACAGTATTGACTATATAATATTATTATACAGAATACTCACGCTGAAGCAATGGGTGTCAATCTCAAAGACTCTTTCATGACGGCGTCAGCGTACTTGAGCTGGTTCAATTGTTCGTATGTTGGAGTCTACAAGACATAACTTTGAGTAAGAATTTGTAAAGACAAAATTGTAAGTCAAACATTTGCTTACCTCATCCATGCAAATTTCTTCAATTTCAGCTCTCAGTTTATCTTGAGCATCTTGATTCCGAGCCAAGTAATAGGTGGTAAAGTTGAGTACATTTGCGGTGGTATCGTATCTGAAAGATTCATTGTTATATGTTTCTTTACTTGTGATTAATATGAAGTTGGCATCTTTTTAGTTTTGAAAGATAGGAGCGATAGGAACACTATTGAAAAACGATAGGTTAAAATAACTTACCCAGCCACCAAGAATACAAAGCAGCTAGCGTATATTTCTTCGCTGGTCATCTTCTTCTCTACGTGAACATTAGACTTTTGGTACACTTCGCCGGTTTTTGATAGATCAAATTCATCTTCATAGTTCAGGAAAATGTCAATAAAATCTTGTGGTTCTTCGTTGGCTTCTCCAGCTAGCTAAATAAGGCATAGTTTACTGTAACATGATTGCTAATATTTTTGATAATTTAGTTTTTTAAATCTATCACTCTTACAAGTCAGTATTATATCTTACTCTTTTAGCTTTGCGTTCTTTAACAGCCTTTTCCATGCCTTTGAATAAGTTCGGCACACCAGTACCGTACGATATTCTGTATGCCATTTCTAAGTAACGTAGAGGTCTCCATAACAGTGGGAACATCCATGACATGTCGGTCAGAGGATGTGTCAAGTTACGGAAGAAATAGTACAAGTCATCACGATACGGGTTTCTGAATTGCATACTCTCTTGGAAGCCCAAAGCAGCACGGCAGATCACGTCCAATGTGAATTCAAAGAAAAATCTGAAAAATGTTTGTCATGGTTTGAGTATGACAAGACGATTAGGTTAAAATTTAAAACGGTTGGAGTTTACAGGTAAAGACTTACGGTTGAATATCGACCGTCTTTCCAGGAGCGTACTCTTTTTCTAAATGGTCCATCATTATGGAACCAGAGTCGTCAATAATTGGCATTACCTAAAAATTTTTATTTATGAATTTACATTTTCCCAAATGTTCGTTATAAATTTTTATGAATATACAGTGTATAATATTAAGCATAGGTTGACCACTTTACCTTTTTTAAGTTTTGAACATTGAAAGCTGGATTGGAAAGGGCTCTGAGCCGTTTCCAACGATTGCCGGCGGCCGAAAACACATTAGCACGTGGAGTGACTTCTGGGTCACCTCGGATTGGTGGAACCTTAAAAATGTGATTGGTAGCATGTTTATATATTTTTAAAAGTAATTACTATCAAAGTGAAAATAACTACAATCGACATTAGAAAAGATTGCTTACCTCACGAGCATAAAAGATGTCAAACTTGTCTACGATGACTTCTTTGATGAGGTTTGGATCACTTGTTACCAATATGTTGGTCCTTCCTTTCTGCATTCCAAAGGTAGAGCCATATTGTTTAGCCCATTCAGCGATCTTGAGTGAGTAGGCTTTGTGACTTCTGATTCCAGGAAGATTGCCTAATATTGGTAACGCTTGTGGACCCGACACTCCAAGACGTTTCCAGTAATTTGCATGGTAAATTGCTTGACTGAAATTAAATTTTGAAACGTTGTGTTCAAATATATGATTCTTAACGACATTCTTATTCTATTTTTAGTTAGATTAGTACTTTGAAATTAAAAAGGGAAATTTATAATTAAGGAAAATAGATAAAAACTAACTTACATTATATAAATGACTAAAAAAGCTACACAAATTAACAAAATCATGTTTCCAATCTATCAACTCAGCTACTACAATGTATTATCCAAAATACAGCTGCGAATATCTAGTTGTTTTGAGTCAACAAGCTTGATCGATTCTAAAGACACTTGATAACAACCTTTCGTCTTGTTTAAATAAGATGTCGAACAAGCGTGTTTAACTCGGTTTTATACAAAACGACTCTTGTGTTATGTATTCTGTGATGCGTGTGAAAGGCTGTCTCTAAAAAGGTTGTTTTGGGTGGTATCTAAAGGAATAAAAAAAAGTAAACGGTTAAAGGTTTGATAGTGTAAAAGCAATAGTTGAAACATACGAAACGTGGAAATAGGGGATAGGCACGGTGGGAGATCTTTTGAAATCTTTTTTCATAAAAAATCTTGTCTGTATTACAACGCTTACTAGTCCAGGTATGAGCATCACTTACATGTTTGTGTTATTTTATAAAATTTTTTTTAGGCAGATAAAATTGTTTCAAAGTTGTGCGCACACTATTCTGTTTACAAGATTTTTGAAACAGTTGTTATTAAAAAGTAAATTAAAGTTTACTGATCTTGATCAACCTTTATCATATGATAATAAAACGCATATAAGGCATTATGTAATTTTATTATGAATTAGAAAACCGAAAATACATGTATATACACAAAGCAAAATGGGCATTAATATAGTTGAGCTCAGTTGGGGTTTGCTTGAATTATGTTAATGTTACAGCTCTTCCAATCGAACTTTCATGTCATCCGTGGTCAACACTACAGTATTGCATATTTCAAGTTTGTCATTTTCTGGCACTGAGTGAATACGGTATTTTCGCAACAACTTAACCAATGCCATCTTTTCCTCCAAGTAGGCCAGTCTCATTCCAATACAAATACGAGGACCACCACCAAAACCATAGTTGAGTTCAGACTTACAGTCTTCTAAGAATCTGAAAATGACGATAATTAGGTGTTCATGTACAGTAATGTATAGCTTTTGGTACTGTAAGTATGATCTAAAGTAATAGTTGAACGTATTTTCTGTGTGATATTGTACTGTGAGCGTTCATGTTAAAAATGGTTAATATTATTATAATATAACTACCTTTCTGGCCTAAAGTCGTCAGCATCGTCTCCCCAAATATCCTTTCGTCTGTGGAAGGACACTACATCAACTTCAACACAATCTCCTTTTTTTACCGGTATCTTTTTGTCACCAACTACAGTATCTTGAGAACACAAACGTGCCAAGGCTCTAAAGTAAAGCACGTTGGCAAACAAAAAATCACGAATGGCTAGTGGAATAATAAATGTTATTAGACAGTATAATATTAAGTGCAATAAATCAAAGTTTTTAAAATACGAATGAATTTTAAATATTTGTTAAAACATACGGTGAAGCAATCGGTGTGAGACGAAGAGTTTCTTTCATCACGGCGTCAGCGTAACGAAGTTGGTTTAGCTGTTCGTACGTTGGAGTCTGAAAGTTTAAGGTTAAAGAGTACGCAATATAACTACATGCAATGCAACTAATATCATAGTACTTTTACGAACTTTCAAAGAAATAGATAGAAAAGTAACAGATTGTACGTTAATAGCCATACTGTAAGCGTATGTGGTCATACTGTAAGCCGTTTATTTATGCTTACCTCGTCAACACAAATCTCTTCAATTTCAGCTCTTAGCTTCTCTTGAACTTTCGGGTTTTGAGCTAAGTAAAAGGTCGTAAAGTTGAGTACATTTGCTGTTGTATCATAGCTAAAAATATGGATTTACATGATTTAAACTTTAATAAGGATTTATCTTTAAAAATAGTATATATATTAGGCTGTTCACATAATTCTGTGACTACAATAATTGACTATGTGTCATTGTTTCAAAATTCAAAGTAACTTACCCAGCAACTAGGAAAACGAAGCAGCTAGAGTACACTTCTTCAATCGACATCTTTTTCTCTACATGAATATTCGATTTATTGTAGACTTCTCCGGTCTTGGATAGATCAACTTCGTCTTCGTAGTTCAGGAAGACATCAATAAAGTCGACTGGTTCTTCGTTTATATCACCAGCCAGCTGAATTATACATATTATTAAGAATATTACAGTAAAATCACGGAAACTAACAAATATGTAGAATTGTAAAGAAACTACGTTAATACGAATAGTAATGTAAAAACTAATTTCAAGATTTAAAAGTGAATGAAGATTAAATTTAAAAAAATAGTAGTAATATGCCTCACCCGCCTGGCCTTTCTTTCATTGACAGCCTTTTCCAAACCCATAAACAAGTTGGCAACTCCAACACCTTCACATCTTCTTATCAACATCTCCAGCATGTGAAAGACTTTCCACAGTTTCGGAAAGCCCCAAGACAAATCAATGACTGGATGAGCTAAATGACGGAAAAAGTAGAACAGATCTTGACGGTAGGGGTTTTTGAATTGCATACTCTTCTCAAAACCCAAAGCTGCGCGACAAATCACGTCTAATGTGAATTCAAAGAAAAAGCTAAAAAATAATATTTTTAAATTTTTTAAAAGCTTAAATCTAGTATTTAAATTTGGATTTTCAACGTTTATAAAAACGACCTAAAAATTAATTTTAGACGGTAGTCATTCAAGTTTTTACAATTTTTACTTACGGTTGAATGTTGATTGTCTTGCCTGGAGCATACTCTCGTTCCAAGAAGTTCATCATTTCGTTTCCTGAATCATCAATGATTGGCATAATCTAAAATATTTTATAAATTGTGCAATTTTACTTTGAATTAAACTAAACTGTTTTACATTTTTCACTTTTAAATTTAAAATTTTGTGGCGTTTTTAAAAATCAGTGTACAATCTCTTACCTTTTTCAAATTCTGAACATTAAAAGCTGGACTGGACAAAGCTCTGAGTCGTTTCCATCTTTTGCCAGCAGCTGAGAACACATCAGTCCTTGGCATGATTTCAGTGTCACCTCGAGTTGGTGGGGTCTAAAACATTAAAATTTTAATATTAAAGAGCTAAACAAACCTATTAGATTGTTCAAATAATCTTGTGCTCTTATTAAAGCAAACTTTCGAGATTGGAAGCTCAGAATTATTTGAACAACTCAATGTAATTAAACAACAGATCAGCTACCGTAGTTTACGATAACGCTCTAAAACAAATATATACTCACTTCTCTAGCATAAAAGGTGTCAAACTTGTCCACCACGACATCTCTGATAATGCTAGCATCACTTGTGACCAGAATGTTGGTTCTGCCTTTTTGAATACCAAAAGTAGTACCATATTGTTTTGTCCATTCTGCTATTCTAAAGGCGTAGGCTATCTTACTTTTCATCAGAGTAAAAGTATTTCCAAAGATTGGCACTGCTGGAGGGCCTGGTACACCAACGCGAGACCAATATTTAGATTGGTAGATGGCTTGACTAAAAACGGAAAATAAAGGTTTAAGTTAATGTACTTGCCCTTCTGTCAACACTATTTTCGGTATGAATACTATATTGCTTAGTATGTACTATGTAAATTGAGAAAAATACTTTTAAAGTCATAAAACCAACAAAAACTTACATTAAATAAATAGCGATCAAAGCTATTAGAATTAGTAATATCATCTTTACCTATATGTATATAAAATAGATGATATTTTAAAAAATACTAATAGGCTTTAATCTAAACCAGTCAACTCTTCTCAAAGAACCTTGAATGATAGTTACTGACCCTTTAAGAACGATTGCATTGAATCTAAGTTCAAATCACAAATTGTTATATGTCTTGTGCTTTCAAAGTTTGATACGTATTTTTGCAAAAAATAGCGAAAAATTTTTAAATTCGACTTTCGTATTAGGGTATATTTAATATAAAGCTTTATATGATTTCAATATCACATTCTGTAAAACTTTATCTTGTGCTCAATTGTGACTACAACTAATTTTAAAAAGCAAAGTAACATAAGTTAAATTGTGTCTTGTATCCTGATATAACCTTGTTTTCCAAACGCAACGTTTGGTCACAAATAGATAGACTGCACTTAAGCAAACCAGCTACAAAACACAACATGTTAACTAATATAATAGCAAAACACGTATGTTATCAAAAAGTCTGTGTAGTAAATAATATAGCTAAAGTTGTGATGTATAGAAAAACAAAGGTAACTGACATAGACATTAAACTTTTTTAGCTGTTTTTGGTTTTTAACTCGCTTTCTAAACCTAAAATGCTTTTAGTTTAATTAATAAAAGTTTTACAGTTTTCAGAATCTGAAAATACAGTAAAAAACTGTTAGGCCTGGCATTTGGCCTTTTCTGTAGTGATCTAGACTCTCTTTGATAAACTGAGGTTTTAAATGAGTTTTAATTTAGTTTTACAGTAAAAAGAAAATAACCTGGAGTTTTAGAGAATGGTTTTTGTTACAAGTTGGACGTCAGACGAACGGCTACGATGCAGCTTTACTAAACACTACGGCCATTCCATTGATTTAGACATTTACTAACGCCAATTTGCGTTGGCCAGTATTTGTAATGGTACTTCTATTGTCGTAGATGCTCCGGCCGGCTCCGGAAAAACACGGACCATTGCCGTATGTTCTGAGCTAACACTGGAATCTAATCTGGTCAAGCTTGTTTTCTGTTTGGCCACAACAAATTCACAATGTTACAACATTAAGGTCGCCGTACTGAATGCCGGTGTCTTATCGAAAAATATTTTTCATGTTCGAGGTGAATCTAGTGTTTATTCTGCAGCCGTTTTTTAGCGGAGCATGTTTTTAAATCATATTTAAAGACGTTTTTTTGCACTTTGAACTTTTATTTTGTCTTTGAATATGAATAAAAAGGCCCAGGCTGTGGCAGAAATGACTGCGAAGAACACTCTGATTATTACAACAAGGCCAAACGGCCATATATTGAAAGATAAGAAGAGATTCTGATTTTGCGGAAGATTTGATTGATAAATAGTTGGGTCTATTTGATTATATAAATTTTAGCTATTTTACAGTATTCTTACAAGTATTCAATAAATTTACAGTATATTCAAGTATGGGTGAAATTTGTTAGTAAATTAAAACTAATTCTAGCGAGTTTAGTACAACCTGTTGTGCCCCAATCCAATGGAAAAACGATGAACAAAGGTGGGTAAATAAAATTAAACTATTATACTTTTTTAGAACCTGTAAAAAAGGAAACGTCCGTAGATGCTCAAAATATTGGCAAAGACACACCAATTATTCAAGAGGATTCGATAGCTGTCAAAGGTATGTTGCCAGAACTTGAACACGGCAGCTTTCCACCTGCTTCTTGAAGACAATGGATCTACCGACTGGACACAGCGTAAAAGTTATTAGCGTAGTATCGAAAGCTCGGCGTAAGAGTACGTATCAGAATCATGGTCCTGTGGCAATTAGCAGATGTCATAACCGATGTCTAGAAGTTGCCGACGGAACGGAAAGTTTTGCGCTCTTCAATCAGCTCTTATAGGACAAGCACCAATGATTTGAAGGCTCAAGTTGGCAAAACCTTGATTCAGAATTCAGCTCTGAAAGTGGAGATTTCGACAGTAGACGAATCATAAGGAAAAGAGATTGATATCATCTTGTTGACAACGATCAGCAATAGCAATGACTTAGCTGGTTTCGTCGAATGTACCGTAAGACTGGTTGTCTTGTTGACAAGAGCTAGTAAGGGTTTGATGATTATTACCGATGTTAATGGCCTTTCAGTTAATTCTCGATGGTCTAATTTGTCCTCAAAGAAAATCTTTTTTTGATAACATAAGTCATAAAAAATTAAAAAAAATATATTAGGAAAGACAACGTTTATTTTTTTGTGAATAAGAGACTAATTTAAAAAAAAATATTAAAAAATTTTATGTTTATTCCTCAAAAATCGAAATTTTTGCTATTTGGACAGACATTTTTATTCCTGGCGATTGATCAACGTGTCGAGTGGCTGTTTATAATGGTTTTATTGAGTGCCGAAATAACGTACTTGCTTACAGTATTCGTGGTGTTGTTGATTGGTCTTATCAATGGCTTCGGATTTTCTTATCTAATGTCAAAGTTGAACAAAGGAGAAGAGCCGATTTCGGTGAGTTTATCACATTTCTTCAAGACTTGAGCAGTAGTGACTCAAAAAAATTTGATTTTCTAAAACAGTACCTTCTATAGGACTAAAATCTTATGTTAAGTTGTTCAAATAGTTCTGCGCTCCCTCTCAAAACAAATTTTCGAAATTAGGGGCACAGAATTATTTGAACAACCGAATATAAAACTTTAAATAACCTTTTTACATTAATATAATGCGGAGCTTACCTTTTAGCTATTGATAAATAGTATTTGTTACAGTATGACAACATCTACCCGGGCGGGCCAAGTGGTGCACAATCTAGAGGACAAAAGTCGACCATGCCCGTCAAAGCAGAGGTAGCCAAATCCAGAAGTGTCAAATCGGCCAAAGAACCCAACAAGAAAGAACTCGAGGAAGCCAACGCCAAGGCCAAGAAGAAGTGATCCTTGTGTTAGTTTGTGTGGAAATAAAGAGATAGTATTGTTGTTTTTGAATAAATTTTAATTGAATACATATTTTGCTTCTTTACCATGATATTTTGATGCTAATATTCATATGGCACTACTAAAGAGTCATAATATTTATATTGTAATAGTAAACTACATCATATTTACAGTAAAAAAGTATTATCTCAAAGTTCTTCAACCTGCACAACCATTTCTTCTATGCTTAATATCATAGTTGGTTTGAATTTCAATGGCGGGCTGTCTGGCACAGGTTTGATGCGGTATCTTGGTAGTATCTTTGACAAAGTACTCTTGAGTTCGAGGTAGGCCAATCTCATTCCAACGCAAATCCTCGGCCCACCGCCAAAGCCATATGATTGCTCTGCTCGATGTTCTTCCAAAAACCTTAAATTCAACTTTATCAATTAATTATGACAATTTAATATCGACTTTTCAAAATTTGATAAATTTTTTACCTACCTTTCTGGTCTAAACTCTTCAGCATCATCCCCCCAGACGTCTTTCCTTCTGTGATACGAGATAGTGTCAACTTGAATAATGTCTCCTTTTTTAATTTGAATGTTGTTACCGATTGTCGTATCTTTTGAAGCTGTACGGTTTAATACTCTAAAAGACGTCGTTTAAATATTTTTTTTTCACTTTTTGTATTTAAATTAACTAGCTAATCCATAATTAGAGAAGCGACAATATTGGCCTGCGACAATTCCAAAATTTCTTTTTTTAAAAACGGCAAAATCTTACGACGTGCCAATTGGTATGAACCTCAAAGTCTCTTTAATCACAGCGTCAGTGTAACGTAAACTGTTTAAACGTTCGTATGTTAACTCCTAAAGCAATGAAAATTATATTTGATCCGAACAGTTCTTAACAAAACCTAATATTAAGTTGTTCAATTAATTCTGTGTTAAATAACCCCAAAAATTTGCTTTAAATACAGCACATAATTATCTAAACAACCTAATATTAACAATGATAACTTACTTCATCACCACAAACTTCTTTAATTTCCGCTCTGACTTTATCTTGGACATCTTGATGTTGCGATAAAAAGTAGGTTGTAAAACTTAATACATTGGCTGTTGTGTCGTACCTTAAATTAAAGTTTTTAGAATATTACAGTCTGTTTTTAAAAATTTTTATTGTTTTAGTTATCCTGAATGGCAGCAGGCACTTGGACTTAAAATAGACCTTATAGAAAAACCCTACTAGCCTCTTGCCGCTATTATGTTTTATATTTAAAAAAAGTCATTCCATAAATCGTACAATCGCAATCTTACCCTACAATTAAAAATAGGAAGCAATTTGAAAATATTTCGTCAATAGCTATCTTCTTTTCCACATGAATATTAGTCTTGTCGTATGCTTCTCCTGTTTTTTCGTATTCTACAACATCTTCATGGTTCAGAAACATGTCAATGAAATCTTTTGGCTCTTCGTTAACTTCCTCGCTCTTCTAAAAAGTTCATTTTTATATCCTTATCTACAAGAATACTAATATTTTATACAAACTATAATATAGCAATTTTTCTTTTTAATTATTTTTAGAAAAATGTAAGGTGCAAATAAACTGTCACTACTTAGAGTATTACTTACCCGACTTTCTTTCCTGTCATTGACAGCTTTTCTGACCGACTTAACCAAAAATCTGAAGCCAATGCCTTGGTAGATTTTCTTACATAAATCAAGATATCGCAGAGGTAACCATATACTAGGAAACATCCAGGATAGGTCAGTAAATATGCCTCCAAGATTATTCAAAAGATACAATAAGTCCTTTCTGTATGGGTTTCTAAATTGTGTACTATCTTCAAATCCGAAGGCAGTACGACAAATAATGTCCAAAGTGTACTCGAAGAAAAACCTAAAAATTATTTTTTGTAATTAAAAGACTCGTTTCTTCATAATTTATGAGATTTTTTAATTATAAGATGATATTAGACATCAAAACACAAAAAATTAAAAACTTATAGTTATCTTAACCATGTATTACCACAAAAACATACGGTTGGATGTCCATAACTTTGTTGGAAGCTTGTTGTTCTTCTAGATGCTTCAACATTACATTTCCTGAATCTTCAATGATTGGCATGATCTAAAATGATTTGTATTGATTACTGTAACATATTTATATTCATACTGTAACATATTTATATTGTTTACTGTAATGTTAAACTCAAATCATTCAAGAACATTGAAAAACCTTTTAAATTTTCTGCGTATTTTAAAAAATAACATACTTTCTTCAAGTTCTTGACTGAAAACACTGGATTTACCAACGTTCTTTGCCGTTTCCATCGTCTTCCTGCTGCTAAGAACAAGTTTATTCTAGGCGACAGTTCAACGTCGCCCATAGTTGGTGGTACCTAAAATATAACAAGTTCTACAGAAAATAAAAGTTAACTCAAAAAAAAAAATTTATTTTCCTATAAAGCATAAAACCTCCTACATAAAGCGTACAATCACCTACATAAAACACACAACCTACTACAGCAAGCTAAACTCATAACCTACCTCCCTACCATAAAATGTGTCAAATCTATCTACAATAACTTCTATGATCAAGGCAGGATTACTAGTGACAAGTATATTAGTTCTTCCTTTTTGAATTCCAAAAGTTTCACCATATTCTTTGGTCCATTCTTCAATTTGTTGAGGAATACATCCTTTCAAGTCGTAGATATTGCCAGCAAATGGCAAAGACTTTGGACCTGGTATGCCAAGCTTCTTCCAATGGTGAGAGTGGTCTATTGCTTTACTAAAATAAATACTAGTTAAGTTATATAAAGCACAGGAATGCAAAAATTTTAAAAAGCAAAATTCTATTAAAATTAAACACGACATTATTTAAAATATACCTATGAAAAATACTACATATTATAATAACTTCTAATTTAAACCTCAACTTACATTACAAAAATGACAAATAAAGCCAAAAAGCCTAGTAGAATCAGCCAATACATTCAAATAGTTCAAGTAAATCTTTTACAATATTTTAAGCAATGAGCTTCGTTTAGCAAACTCACGTTCCTTTTTTTTTATTTTAGGTAAAAACACTAGACAAAACACTGATAACGTTTAAAAACAATTTTCATCAGCAGCCAAAGTTGTGTTGTAGTTCGTGTGTTGTGTGCAGAAGCATTAGTTCCTGTAATAATGCAGTCATAAAGATCAAAACAAGGTCAAAAAGATCAAGCTGTCATGTACAAGATTTTATATATAAAATCAATTTAACAGTTTTTATACATAATACACTTTTTAAGTATAATATAATACAAAACTAATTTATAATTGTTTTCAAAAATGCGCAAAAAATAAAAAACAAAAAAAATTTTAGAAATGAAAACTATTCATAATCTTATCAAAACCACCTGCTAAATGTTTGATATTGAATGCGCATGTATGTTGCTTGGCCAAACATATATGTTTTATAGAAACGACAACTTACGTGACACTAAAATGTTCCACGAAAGACATAATTATAATATATAATATAAACAAATTGAAGAATGTAAAGTAAATAATAAAAAAGTCAAACAAATCGTCTAAAATATTTAAGAAAAAAAATCCGATCAAAATTTTTTTGATTTTTTTTTCGATATTTTCAACGTTTTGCCACATTTTGGCGATAAGTATTGTTTTCGTTGTAAGACCATTTTATATCAAAGAAATCGAAATTTCGATATCGAGAATTCAAAGTGGCGATATATCGAAATCGATCAATCGAAAAATTGTAAGTACTGAAAGTTTTGGCTACTACAATGTAAGGACATTAAAAACGAAAGTAGAAAGCCAGATTGTAGTTTTCTTTATCTTAAAAAATATTTTTTGAAGACATTGTGAGTTTCTTCAGACACTTTATTCAATGGGTCCTTTATATGTACTGTAATATCCGTTGACATTAGCTAAACATGTACCTAAAAAGCTGAAACTTGCAGGATAAATAAAATCGGCAAAAATTAGCCACAATTGACCTTAAAGTTGCGGATTTGCTTAAAACTTTTCCGGTTTCTCTCTATTACTCTTTATTCTACTACTTCTTTAAATCTATTACTTCTTTGAATCTTTTACTCCAATTTTAAATTCTTAAATTTAAAAAATTTACAAAAAATGTTGGAAAAACATGTATCGTACACGTTAACCTTGTCAATCTGCTTTATTGTTTTATCGTCATTTTTTACTGCTAATTACAATGCGATATCTGCTGATTATGGGTATTCCATGTAAGTTTTTACCTGAACATGTTAGAAATAAACATTATATTATTGAAGTTAAATCCACATATATTAATATTTGAAAAATTTTTAAATTTAAAAATAGAAAATATTTTTTAGATTACTGATGTCATTTGGCTTTTTATTCTCGCGACAATTGTATTCTGAACCTCAAGCTGATTTCAAAGCTGTTTTGAGTTTTTACAAAAAGGAGATTCAGTTTTTGATTGTACCGTATGTTTCTATTATTGCGGTATTAGTAACGACATTGTTTATGATACTTGACAATGCCGAGTTGAAAAAGCTCCTGTCTAGCTTTATATTTCTTGAAACGCTTACAATCAACCTTAAAAATTACTTTGTGGAACAAAATGTAAGTTTATTCATGCACCTTGCCAATATGGTTTTCGCTATGTTTGTACTGTATAATGTACAAAGTATAATATAATTATATACAGTTACATCTAGGATTACCACTATTATATAGTGCTGCTTTCGATGGTTTTTTCATGAGATTTTTGTTATTATATGCATAATATCACTGTTTTTAGGACACTCTGATCATTTTTGACAACTTTTGGATATTAACTTTACTGATACAAATCAACTTTGTATTTCCTGCATTACACTTTACTGTCAATTTACTGCCTTCAGTACTAAAGTTTACATTGATGTTAGTGATTGCCATTACTTTTGTTATATCTGACAGTGTGTTGAGCACTCACTTTGGCAGCAACATTTTTACTAATGTGTATTCAGTACTCTTTGGTGCTATTGCTTATGAACTAGTAGATCATAGTAGCTTGGTATACCCATTACAGCAAAAGGTGCAAAGTAGTACTGATGAAAGTGTTACTCAAAGTTGTTTTGTCAAAAGTAATTTTTTTTTTAAATGTAATTACATTTCTTATTTTTAAGACCGTATTTTACCTTTATTACTGTATTCTGCATATTTTAAATTTTTATATTGAACTTTTCAGACTTTACTATTAACCCTTCAGTCCTTGTACCATATGTTGCACCAGTAGTACTAATTCTAGCTGTATTTTTACCTACACCATTGCCATTTTACATACAAAAACTGTTTATCTTAACGACTTTTGGTTTAGTTCTTGTATTTGGAAACCGAATCGACTTTAATTTAGTAGAAAACGTTACTTTTACTGTAGCATCAAATGGTATATTATTCTTATTAATTAACGTTGCGGTTACTAACTTGTGGGTTTATTTGAAAGGTTGGAGTATCGAGTTGACGCCTGTTGAAAGTAAGTCGGTCTATGGTTGATGTATTTGGTTATTCAAATAATTTTGTGTCTTCTCCCAAAGCAACTAGTGGGCTCAGAATTATTTGAACAATCTAATAATTGTTTTGTTTGCGAGAAAAGTACTTTTTTTATGTAAAATACGTCTAAATATATGTCCCACTTTTTTACCTTTTATAATGGCCAATTTTCAGTGTTTTATTCGCTCATAACGTCTTGCTTTGCCACTTGGATTTGTAAAACAATATCTGGATTATACACAATAACTGATGAAAAACGTTTAATTATTACAACACAAGCAAGTTTAATCATAGTGGGACTGTTAACAATCACTTTTATCCATTATCAAGCTTATATTGCTAGTAACAATGTAAGTTGTTTTATATACATTTGGTCACATTGCAAAGCTATTGGTAGTATACTATAAATAAGATATACATACATAATTAAGTTATTATATAACTATTATACATTGTATTTTAGGAAGAGCAAATCCCAACAAGTATGAAAGAGTTCACACTGTTCAAAAAGAATTTGAAGTTGATATACGATCATAACGTCGTGTACACAAAATCAAAAGAATTTAATTTACAAATGAAAGAGTTTGGGACACTGGAGAGAAATCAAAACAGAGGCAAGTTCTACTTCGACATTGATGACAAGAATATTATTCAAAGAACTTTTCCGGTAGGTTTATACACGTACGTTTTACATTATTTATATTATAATCAAAGAATTGTAAAAACTTATTTTTCGTTTTTTATCTAAATTATAGTTTACATATGTGCTATACAGTTCTTCGAAAAGTTTTTAGGGTAAAGGAAAACTAAAGATTTTAATTATTGGCGATGATTTGGCTCAACAAGTTGTCTATGGTATTCATCAACACTTTTTGTACGATTTGGCGTTATTATTTACTTTTTCTCATAGTTACTGTCCTCCGTATACTGTAATCAATTCTGATACAGAATGCCAAGAATTTGCAAATGCGACAATCAAAATGTTGAAGAAAAACACATTTGATGTTATTGTGATTGCTTCTCGGTATGTTTACGTTTAGGTTATTTAATTTTTAAAAGCTATATTATCTTAATAAAGGCAATACTTGCTTCAACATAAAAAGTTTTAAAGATTTGCAAAATTAATATTTTTATTCTTTAGGCTACCAAAGATAACTGTGCCAGAACAACAAAAGTATATCCAAGACTTTTATCTGAGCTTGGAAAACTATTCTAAGTTGTTGATGATTACTATTGGAGTACCATTAGACTTGACATTGGATCCTTTCATTGAAAATCAAAAAACTTTTTTTAGAAGATACGACTACTCTCTACCGGTAAGAACTGGCTTAATTTTACACTCAAATTGTATAAAATATTTTTACATGACTTTCCTAAATGAAAAACTGTATTATAAGACTTATGTTACAGTACCACAATAAATAAAAAAATAACTTCATTACTTTTCAGAAAAATACTGTTGTTTCGCTAGCAAATAAACTTCAATATAGTCAGATTCATTGTCAGAAATGTGTAAAAATAACATACGAAGAGGCTTTTTGCTATCAAAACAAATGTCTTCTGTATGGCAATGTCTCACGACTGCCGTTCTATGATAATCAAGATGATTTGAGTTTGTTTGGATCACTAAAACTTGGTGATGTTGTGAAAGATAAGTACAACAATTTCATCCAAGATAGTCAAAGCAGCTACAATTTTACACAAACTGCTACGAAAACTTTGGACAACATACTAAAAAAGAATTAACAAGTTTTATTCAAGCGTATGACATAACATATTAAACTGTATAAAAAGTAATGAGCTACTGAACTTCGTATCGCTATGAGAGACTTAGCTAATAACTTTTTATACGGCCTATTATAATATATAAACTTGTACCTAATTTTTGTTATTTTAAAAATTATATATAAATTAATATCAAAAATAACCAGACCATAAATACAGCATAATATAACGAAATTAAACATTTATTGCGATAAAGTATAAACAAAAGTAAAAAAAACTAATACTAATATCCTCGTGACACTCTCTCGGTATGTACAAAGTGAACTTCGCTGGTGATACCATTACCTGGCACTGTGGCTGACTGTCCGACCAACTCTGAGTGTAATGGTTGACGAATCCAGGCGTGAATTGTGGCCTGAAAAATAATTTTTTTATAATAAACTTTTAAAAATGATTTTCTTTACCGGCCAAGCTTACAGTTTTCTGTTAGGTCTGAGTATGTAATTATAGTATTAATATAAATTATAAAATAAACTTATTTTAGTCTTATCCAGATCTACCCCTGCTTAATATAGTCCTATCTAAGCCTCCTCCTGCCCATTTTAGCCCTACCCAACTCCACCCCTCAAGTAAAAAGCAATGCATATTCGTTCTCCATTGTCTCTCCCCCAAAACAAAAACTACCCGCCCAACTTTAACTTACGAGTAAGAATACACAAACTCCATAACCAAGAACAGCCAAACTAAAGAAATCGACGATGAATTTCTCAGGACAAATGTCATTTCCGTATTCTTTTGGACAATTCACTAAAAAAATCTTTTATTATACAATGTACTTTAAAGATTTTAATAAAATTTACTTTAATATATACAATAAGCTTTATAAATCTTTACTTAATTTTTTTAAATTATAAAAAATAATAGATTTTAACTCACCAGCCCAAGCCGCTTTTTCAGCCGCGCCCATTAACGCAGCGGCCAGGCAGAAGGCGAAGATGATCAGGCCTCCCGTTCTGTGAAATGGCATCACAGCCTGTCGAATGTGGAGTGGTGTTTGTGGCACATAAAAAGCGACAAATCCAGCCAAAAGTTGGCATCCATAGAAAGTAGCACAAGATAGGCCAATCCAAGAATGACAACTCTGGAGGTTCGGCATAGGTGTGACGTTATCGACAGTTCCAGTATAATTGTAGTCGTGACTGTCCCATACTGCCTAAACTTGGTTTTACTATAGTAAAGGTAAAATGTAAATTTATACGTTTATCATTTAATGATACCGTAAAGTACTATATACGTACTATAAGACGTACTATATGTATAAATCATAAACGATATTTCAAAAACCTTACTTTCAAGCCTAGAACCATAATAGTAAATGCAATGCAGTGTAAAATGCCATGGACAGCTTTTGTGTAAACTTTCTTTACATCTCGCAACCCACGGTATATCATAATAGCCTCACCATTAAGAAACAGTAAAGACAATGACATACAGATTGGATGCCATTTAAACTCTAGCTTCGGATCACTTCGTAGGGCAAACCTGAAAGATCAATACTCAATTTTCAAACAGATCTTATGAATATAAATTACCTCCAATTTTTAGAAAACTATAATGTAAAGAATGCTCTTAAAAATTAAAATAATAATAAAAAAATTTATACTACATATAACTAAATACATACTTGTTTTACCTTACCCTTTTCCATCATAACACATCCACGAAACGATCAAACCAATAGCTGTTAGACCAAATAAATGAGCAATGCCATATATGACAGTAGGTGCCAAATAAGGTCCACTAAACTGCATGTTCTACTCAGATTTACACCAATAGTTTATCACTAAAAAAGTCAAATTTATAGGATTTTAAACATCGCTTTGTAAAAAATTCAAATAACTAACGAATATGCATATATCATATTAGGTTTTTCAAGTAATTCTGTACCTCTAACCCAAAAATTTTGCTTTAAGCTGAAGCCCAGAATAGCTTGAACAACCTAATAGTTTTCAAAAGAGTATTGAAACACTCGTTATAAGCTACCCCTTCGCAGTTTTCAGGCCTTGATCTGTCCTAAACTGCTCTCCATATAGCATGACAACTTTTACTACATACGAATTTTAAGTCATCAGCTCAAGACGTCTTATTAAACCTAAGATAATTACGCCTGAAGCCTCAATTGTTTCTAGCTTGTTAATCAAGATATCAGTACAAAGAAGAAACTATAATTAAGTACATCTTTTATCAAAATGTTGTAAATGTACGTCAGAAACAGTAGATAAGATACAAAGAGGAACCGACTTGAACACATTCACAGGCTTTGTTAATTGAAACAATGTAGAAGAACCTACTGATAACACTGTTTCTTGCAAAAAGTCATGAACATATAGGTTGTTCAATTAATCCTGCACTTTCTCTCAAAGAAATTTTTTTACGGGAAACATCTTTTAGAGGACACAAAATTATTTGAACAACCAGACGATACTATTAAGTTTAAAAAATTTAAAAATTATTCTTAAAATGAAAAATGTTAAAATGGTGTGAACAAAAATAAAGTCATTTAAAACAATATTTTCCCACATTCCATTATTGTTGATACCAATTTATGATTGATATAATTAAGATAACCTTTTCAAAATGAAAACAACCAACTTTTCAAAATTTAAATTCAAGATGCTTTAATTAATGTTATTCCAATTGAAATGTCAATAAAACACCTTTAAACAGTGGCGGTGCACCGCCATCCTCAACATCTACCCCCATTCTTAACACCTAGCCCCCCCCCCCTTTTTTGTTAAAACGCGATTGTAAATCTGAAAATATAAAGAAACGAACGGTAATTCAAGCCAAAGTAATGTTTGGTGATTACTATCTCAGGTTACTCCATACAATGCTGTTCTGTTTACTGTCAAAGTTCAAAGCCATCTATTTACTTTCTTGCAGGATTTAGAAAACTTTAGGTAATAAAAGACTCAAAAACATTAAGAAACGGTTATAAGAGTAAGGTAAATGTTTAGACTATAGTTAAAAGACTAATTAGATGTTGTGGCTAAAAAATAAAGTACAAGGAAGTGGCATGGGAAAGTAATCATAAGTGTGACAAAGAGTTACAAAACTGTTTTGGAATACTTTCAAAGTTTTTCAATTGCCCCACCTCCCTCTTTAGCTCTATCACAAATTACCTTGCTCTTTTTATCCCTGCCCAGCCTGCTCCCGGTTATTTTAAACCTACCCCACCCTATCCTACTTTACCCTACCCTACACTGCCATAACTTCGCCCTCATCCCTAGAGTAGTTTCAAAAAAGTAAAATTTTAAAAATATTCAGTGACGATACATGATCGAGTTTAAGACATGATCATGGCTGGCAATAAAAATAAACAGTTAGTTTTAAAAACAAAACAAACTAAAAAGCTTGGTAATAATTGCTCACCAGCAGTTCCATCACAGTTATCTTTGCATATTAAAGAGGGTGCGGCTATTTGACGACAAACCGTTTTATTAATCAAAAATAATATTAAAATACGTAAGAGGTAATAGATTTGAAAAAAAAATAAATTTTATAAAAAGGTAATGCTTTATAAACAATATTTAAAAAAGCCAAAGATTTTTCCCTTTTTTTTTATAAAAACGTTGTTTCATATTTTATAGGTAAGGTAAATGAAAGTGGTCTTCAAAAGATGGGTACAATAAACGTTTCGCAAACGCATAAAATATCAAGCATTATGAGTAAAACGCAAATATTACAAAATAAAACGTGAAACGGAGGTAAATCCTGACGATTTTAATCCGAATTATTTATAAACAGTTCAAAATGTTCTATTTTGTGAGAACGATGAGCAATCATAACATAACATTAAAAAATTTAAAGCTTCAACTTTTACAAAAAAACTTTTAAATTCCAAACAAGAAAAATTGCATTCCCTTACCACTCCAACCTGATATGAGACTAGAAACTCAAAACCGATTAAAAATACAAAATACATAAGGTAACACGACGTGGTCGTAAACAGACGATAAGCGCCATTTGTGTGAGCTTTCATCTGTTTCCTGTTTTCCAAGTAAAATTATTTGTTTACTCAGGGAATTCAAGTGAGCTGGAGAGCACTTAAACGCAAGTACATCATACAATAATGCACATTTATATAATGCATGGGTTGAGCTTGGTTTAGAGACGTGAATCAAAGTCGCTCTTGAGCGAAGGTAGTAGTTTATCGTTAATAATGTGCCAAAAAAGAGAAAAAAAAACGTTTGGCACATTCATTTCTTAAACATGATCATGTCTCAAGCTCAAACATGAGTTTTAGTATTTTATTGTTTAAGAACTAGGTAAAGGCTACGTTATCAAGCGTTACCTTACATAAAAAGATAATTAAAATTTTATAAAACAAAAAGAATCCAAAATGTTTATTGTTCAAAGCACTCTTTTTGAACTTGAAGATAATCCTTTCAACGTGACCAATAAATCATTAATTTAGACGTTTGATAGACGAACATAACAGCAGGTAACACGGTAGTTAGAACAACATAAATGTGCCATTCTTTCCTGAAGTAGTAACAACAATAAACATAAGACCAAATTTTAATTTTTTTTGTGAAATTTATATCAAATCAATTATATCAAAAACATTATAAAAAAAATATTCGAGCAAGAAAACATTGTGCACTATTAAATTTAAAACAAAAATTTAAAATTCATCAGCAAAAGCACTTACTTTCTGGTATTTTACAGCTCTCAAGTTTGTTCCGGTTAATAAAAATGTATTCTTTGTAATCATTAGGCGTCACTATAAAAACTGTCTTCCTTTCTCGACGATGCACTTGGCGTTTTGGATGCTGAAGTTGATAATTACGTTTAAGTATTTAAAAAAGCCAAAGATTAATCTAAATACTCTAGGAAATGTCACCATTAAACCACTGTTACTATGCAAAACATTTTTTTGCCGGCCCTCGCTTCCAACAGAAGATTTTTCATGTCAAAATCACTTGCCTTGAATAATAAATAAAACTTACCACAGTAACGCACAAACATATCATACGATACTTGTAGTTACGTGGTACTTGTGCTAAAATAATCTCTCTACTATCGTGAATTTGATCTACAACATATTCCGTGGTCGATTTTGTGTCAATGCTCAATTCTTCATTTGTACTCAACTCTCTTGCGTATACTGCCGCAAAGTACTAAATTATCCTTACATTCTAAATATTATAACCATTAAAAATAAGTTAGAATAATAGGAATACCAAAAATCTTACCTTAATATCGTAATCCGACAACCTGACAGTCTTACCGATCCATTCATAAGGTTCGTACTCAAATGCAGTGACACACATACACAAAAACAATATTTGATACAACAACACTTTAAACATTTTATAAACTGATTAGAAGGTAACAGATATATAAAAATAATTTATTTTCAAAATAAAATCCCTTTATTTTTACATATTTACATAATTTTGGTTTCTAAGATTACTCAAGGTTTGTCCTTTGCTTCTGAAGAAGTTTCGTTCTGCTTCTTGATTATGTCCTCAAGGTAGTCGAGTTTGTGGGGTTCTAAAATCAGGCTATGTTATTAATATCGGTCAATTTTTAGGAAATAATTTATTTCTTATTTGCGAAATGTCAACAAATTGAAACGAAGTGTCAAAAATTAGAACGAAATGCCAAAAATTTGTAAAAAATTCTTTTCTCGATATTGTTTTAGATGCTTTGACTTACTTTACTTCGCTTTTGTTAAACAGGTAAGGTAAAGGAATATAAAAGCAACAAGAAGGTTCTATTCTTGCTTTGTAATATAAAATCGACGTATTTTAGATACCTTTAAAGCTTTATAAACCAGTAAAATGAAATTTTGAAGATTGTTGCAGAATTTAGAAATATATTATTGCGTGCTTTACTGTTCATACATTTTTTAAACTTTTAAAGTATAGTAATATGAACTTCTAGAACTAGCACGGCACTTACTGTTCATATCGTCCCAAGTTCCAACGAAAGGTGGAGGTCCAATGTGAGGCTGTCGTTCACGTGGGACTAGATTGTCTACCAAATGTTTGAGCGTCTCGACCTTTTTTGCATCGTCTTGCGAAGTAGATTGGACAGAGTTGGGCTGATTGTTTGTGGATGACATTTCTGGAAGAAAGGATATTATTGTAAGTTATAAAATGTAACAGTAGTTGCCAAAACGTATTAGATATCAGGGCTTGCTGGAAGGAAAAAAAGTTTAAAGGGTTTGGGGGACTGGAGGACGTAAAATATTGGGTATCTGCAGAGTGAAATGGGTTAAAAACCTCATAGTTTTACTATGGCTTTCAACGTGCAAAAATTTTAAAAATATTGAAATTCGAAGTGTGTAACAATAAATTTAGAACCATTTTAGTCAGTCACACTTATTTAAACCTAAACGTCAAATGTAAACAAACAAAGCGCACCTTTCTCTGAGTCATCACAAATTGCGAAGCATATTAGAACAGCTAAAAGAACTGTTATCAGTTTTACTTTCTCCATTTTTGAAATACCGCTTTGTTGACGAGCTAGAGTCTTTATTTAGTAATTTTTCACTATGTAAAATGGTATAGTAATCTTTTGGTATAGTGATGTAAAGGAAAGTTGTGTCAAGATATCAGAAAATATAATGTTGTAGTAGAATTTTATATCAGGGTAGTGATAGTAAACGTGCTATAGTAGGGTAGTACAAACAATTACCGATGTATTACTAATAGTTGTATAAACTTATATTCTACAAATCCTTCAGTAAGATACGCTTGAGCAGAGCTGGAGAAAAGCCGGCTTTGAGCTGGAAATAAGTGAATCCGACACGACTTTGTTACCTTTTTTCTTGTTGATCATACGTGAACTAATCTTAGTCCCACCAATTTGATAAAACGATTGGTTTCGACACAATGATTCATCATTCTGTTTTAAAAACAACGCTGTTTGTACTTAATATCATATCAGTGGTTGTTATTGGCAGGATTTTAGTAGTTTTACATTGTATAGTATTTTTAAATATAGTTTTTAAAATTAAAAAAAATTATATTTTGAAAAATTACAAAGCATGGCAAAAAACACAACGCCAAGTGTGGCGCCAAAATAAAAATTCAAATTTTTGTTTAAAAAAATGAAAACAATAGTACTAAATACTAATTTAAAAACTAAAATTCGATTTATTATGCAATTAGAAAACCGTAACAAATACAATTACAATGACAACAATACAGTAAATACAGAATATTAGAATACACAGGGATACAGTAGGATAAGGAAGCTATATCAACATCTATGTCAATATGGTTTAAAAGTTTCTCAAATAAGTTTAAATGTCGTAGTACAAGTGCAAAAGTAAGATCATGTTATAGTTGTGATCAATATGTTCAATGATACTGTGCGATAAGTCTGGTATATGGCGGAAGAAAAAGTTATATTCTGATAGAGTAGATTACTATAGCATATTATTGTACATTTTACTACAATGTAGTATTGTACAACGTAGAATAATATTTTACATTGTAGTACAAAAATTTAAAAGATAAGATAATATGTTAATATAAAAAAGTAGACATTAGTATGGTACTGTAATATAGTAAAACACTAAGTATATGACAAAGTTTGATAATATGTTACTACAAGTGCTACAAGACTAGGAATGACTTAAAATACAATGATAATGATGTAAAAGTTCATGGTAGTTTCAATACTACCGTAATAAGTTTGGTACGATACGTTAATGTGGCTGTATGTATTGAAAGGACAGTAAATGTTTTAAAAGTACATTTATGATTTGATAAGCAATAATAAGATATATAAAAACCTAAAACTCACACTAGAAATGTTAGTTCAAGTACAAAATGCAATATAAACAACTAAGTAGACGTTATGGCACAAAGACATGAGAATATATATAGATATACATCTAGATTTGTATATAAATGTAAAATATATCTCTAGATGTATATATAAATGTGTAAGAACTATAAATTTAAAAAAACTCATATTTTCAAAATGAAAAATAGTTTGTGTTACAGTACAATTAAGTACGGGACTCAAAAATCTTGAAAAGACTGAATCGACCGGTCGAGTTACCATTTGTCAAAGGGAAGCATTTTAGCGAATTCTTGAAATTTTTCTGGCGGAAATGACACGTTCTCTTCGAGTACATTATGGTGCTGAACTAGGTCAGCATGAATTGAACTTGGCACATTCTGAGGCTGACTAGTCTGGTTCTGCTCCAAATGGTACTGTTGGAACTGGTACATTTGGTTCGAGTTGAAGATTTCACAGTTGTAATCGACCGGGACCTGGATCTGCTGTTGGTTTAGGAGAATGCTGGGATCGATCTGCAAAGGTGGGGTGTTATATTAGGTAATAGCATATGTTTTGGATTGATTATGCTTTATATTACTTTGAAATGAATATGATTCATCTAGAACTTTTAAAGTTTTTGGTCGTTTTTGGACTTTGCCCTTACCGGTTGAGGATACAAGTTCTGAGGTGAGTTCAGGACCCCGTCCAGGTGATTATTTACGACCGGTGTGTTTTGATGAACGTGGTTTTGAATCTGATCGGCCAAACCAGTTTGGGCGTTGCTCGTAGCGACGGCTACCGAGTTCATGTAACCGGATTGAGTCTGAAATAAAATTAATTGTCAACAAGCGTAAGAGTTTGTCAAATACAATTCATTTTCGTATGAAATGAAAAAATAAAAATTTTAAATTTAAAAATTGTTTTTTTAAATTTGCATAAATTTTAAAACCTTACCAGCTGATTGCCGCTCCCCTCATTGTTAGCGGCCAATCCCAATTGTTGTTGAAACACATTCATAGGGTTCAAGAAGTTCTGTAGCCTCAGCTGTTGATTATTCTGACTGTCCAGGAACTGTCCGTCCAGCTGATTAAACAGATTCTGGGCTGGCTGATTCTCATGCACTTGATGGTGATTCTGAATCACATCGTTGTGAGGCTGACCTATCATGAACTGATCATGGTGAACATCCTCACGTTGTTGTTGTTGCTGTTGGATCGCTTGCATGATCAAGTTGTTTGAGTGAATATTGAATTCTAGAGGATTCTGAGTTGTGGTGGGATTCTGGGTGTTGTAGAGACTAGAATCCATGTGATTCAGGAGATCAACGGGAATGTTGGCGTCTTTGTGTTGAAGCAGTTCTGAAGGCAGAAGTGAAGTTGAAGGTTTTTTGCCACCTCGGCCCTTTCTTCGTTTGTTGTTGGGGTTGGTGGTGGTTTGGAGGGGTGCGTTGAAGGTACCACCATGTTGTTCGGCCTACAATTTTGGCTTTATACTTGATATTTTAGGTTTTTAGGTAATGTTTGGTCAAAAAAACTTTAGTTTTGACTAATTTTTATCTTTAAATACAATTATTTCAGTTAAAAATATTTTGAAATTTTAAAAATTTTGTATTTTAAAACGTATACATATATCAATGCCTTACCAGCTTTTTCTTGGCCGCGGTAGCATAAGTCAACATCTTGATGTCGTGATCCATGGCGGCACTAGTCTCGTTCTTTCTCAAATGCATTTCCTTGTGACATTTCAATGAATTCTTCCACTTGAATGTCATCTGACACACCGTGCACGAAAAAGGTTTGGCATCAGAGTGGATTCTCTTGTGATTCCACAACGTCGACCTTCGGTTGAATCTGCTTTGACACACATCACATTCGAATGGCTTCTGACCCGTGTGACTGTTTTGGTGCTCTTCCAGCTCCATTTTGGAGCCGAACCGACTAGAGCACATTGAGCATGGGTACGGTCGTTTTCTATCGTGAGACTTCGAACTTTTGCCATCTAGCGAGTTTGGTGAGGAAGATACGGGCATGTTACTGCCTAGTGACGGAGATGGTAGAGGACATTGTGGTAGAGTGGCAGCTAGTAAAGGCTTGGTATCAAAGGTCTCAGCATAGTTGTGGAGCTGGACTGGGGATGAGGTTGAGGGAGAGGTACTCTCTGCAAAGTGATGGCCATAAGAAGAGTACGATGGTTCTGCAGTAATTATAAAAGCGGTTAGGAGGCAACATAATAAGCATGATTAATATAAAAACGAAAAATGTAAATAAAAATATTTTTTTGGGTACAAAAAACTAAAAGTAATGTCTAAAATACGATTTTGAACTAAAAAACATAAATAAAGTAAGGACACTTATTCTTACCTGTTTTGATATTAGTTTGCAACTCATTAGGGGACGTGTTGATATGGCCATTGTTACCCATATTCAGTTTGGGATCTTCGTATAAGCCATCAAGTATATGGCTATTGTAGTTCATATGCCGGTGAAGGTGATGAACTTCCATTTTTGATTACTGTACAATGACTTTGTCTTGTACAGTAACTGATATGTAAAAGACCTACAGTAGACCTTACAGTAGCTTAATATTTACCGTAGTTCTATCAACCACAATAAATAATACTGTAGTTACCGTAGCTTAATGAAATAGTAATATAGAGTCAGGTATAAAGTCGTTGTCGTACTAAGCGTTGTGACAGACGGTTCCCGTGTTGAGCAGTATGATACGTTGATAAGTACTAGGTAAACTCTAAATTGTATCGGAATGAGGCTGATGCTGGAATGCTCACAGTACAATCATGGAATTTGTGGAAGTACGGTAGATATGCTACAAAAATAAAACGATTTAACGTGAACGAAAATCGAAAATACGAAGAAAATACGTTCGACACGCGATGTAGGTAAGCAATAGTAATCATAAGTTCAACAATTTTACTTTCACGGCACAGAACAGAACGTTACATTGGGGATTGTAGGGACACATGAAAGGTGTAGTACTATTTTGGAATGACACGTTTTGACATTTGTACGTCGGAGAATTGAAATTTGGGAAATTATGACAAAATAGGTTTTGATGACTTCAAAAAGTATTTTTATGTTATTATAGACAAAATGACGCTAATTACAGTATCTAAAAACATAAGAATTACAGTACCCAAAAAGACTATGGTATAACAGCTATAAGCCTACAGAACTTATACTGATACACAGTACAATACTTTTAATAATGACAGTATTATGCCCACAGTACAAGCTCACATACCCGACTCATATACCTACAGTACGGTTACCTATAAGACGCCATTTCTAAATAGTACCCCAATTCTAAGATAACATCAAGTCCCTATCGCTTGATTGAGGTATGCAAATCTGGTCGTTGTAACAAAAACCGACCCGATTCTGGTCGCAGATTATTAACGGAAATAGGAGGGGCAGTCTCTAATTGTGCAATACCAAAAACGGTCATATCATTGGTTATGTCATCGAGTAAATACGAAAGTAAAAGTGTGGCGACAAGGTTGAGCAAAACGTAATTGGATTAGAGTTGGCGATACTGTACTGTGTAGAGCTCATTTTTATACTTAAGATACATAAAAAGGGTACTTTAAGCAAGAGGGTCTTACTACTATTAGTAGACCATAGCAATAGTACTTCACAAAAGTCTTGTCGCCATTTTATATGACTTTGAATAGTAAATAACGACAATACTTTATTGTCATTTAGTAAAAACATTTTAGAGAACTTTATACTATACGCTCAATACTTAGGACCTTATAGCTAAGATATTGTCTTATGGTTGTACTATACTAAAGACTTCAATAAGAATCTACTTACAGTATCCTAACCAGCTAAGATCGTTTAAAATTGCGCCACATAGACACTTGACTACAATGCCAACATTCTTTGTCTTTGTTTTCCTAATTAGCGAGGATTTAACGGTCTATTAAGTTTTGGCAAAAGCCGCTATTATGTCTTGATCTAGATAATGTCAAGTGATCGGCAAGAGTTTAGATGATAATCGACCGGTACTTTGTTTCACCGATAAAGGGAGTGTTAAAACAAAGTCTTTAGTTCATAATGCAGTAAATTTTTAAATTTTAAGATTATTTTACAAAAAAGTTTACAATATATTTTAGATACGATTTTACAGTATCTTTTTGAAAACTTTTTCTACATTTGAAAAACTAATCCATTGAGTATGATACTCCAACGCCAATAAACAGGACGTCTGTTGTTGCTGCACACATATCTGTCTCTATTCATCAACTCTTAAGGCCCTAAAAACGTCGCGATAGTGCGCGGAAATGACCTCTCCTTAATATATCTGTAGCGTTTATGGGCTCACAGTCTCGTTCGTTTTTTTATAACCTCACTAATTTTTGGTCGTAAATATCGAACAATTTGTGGGAACCCACAATTAGGCTAATGGTACTGTAGACAAGGTTTATATTAGCTTGAAAGTGCTGCTCGTAGACCTATATCAACGTAGTTAACTGAAACATACGAAAATGGACAAGAAAAGTTAAAGTACTCGTATATAACAGTTGAAGAGACAAAAAAAGTTTTAAAAAAATTATGCAAATTAAGAATGACAGTTCAAATTTAATCACCTGAAGACTTCACGGATCAAACCCGATATTAGCCCGAGCTCATTTAAAAAAGTGAAATTAAGCGAAATTTAGCCTTGAAAAGTGACTGAATTAGGTTAAAACGGGCGTCAGTTTTTAACTTTTTTAGATAAAATATTCGAAACCAAAATTTGAACCGTTCAAACTGGCTTTTGCGCTAGCTTTTTTGAATTTTTAAAGTTCAAAAATGTTAAAAAATATTCTTTATAAAAATGTTATTTTAGGTAAGTAACAAAAATCTTATCTTTTAAATTATAAATGTCCTAAAATTACTCTAAAGTAACAAGATCTATAAAATACCCTTAAGCAACAAAAACTAGACAAGATAATCAAAGTTTGAGTAAAAGATTTCGTACAATTCAAAATAAGTCAAGACTTGTAACTAATCGCTGCAACTCGAGTTGGCTACAAACTTTTGCACAATACGCTACATTCTCGGCTACAATTGGATACACCTCGACTTTAAATTAGAGTACAATTGCATACCTCACTTTGGCTTTGTCCAATTTTTGATTTCGCATACAACTTTAAGTACAAATACTTTGTGTTTTCAAAATACTAAGTTTAGGTTATGTCTTACTATAGTAGTTGCTGAAGAATTGTAAGGGTTTATCGTAAAAGTTGGCTCTTATAGTAGCTAAAATAAGGTTAGACATACAAAACCAGAAAAAATTTGAAAAAACAGAGAAAACTTAATTTCAACTATAAAATAAAAATTTTTTTTTCATAAAAAAAATTTTTAAGTTAAAAGTTTTGTTAATTCCTAAAGCCCCATAATCTCATAGCCATCATGCTCTCTTCCATCCCAAGCCCCTTTCCCATTCAAAAATCGATAAAACAGTATTTTAGTCGTTTTCAAAACAAATTCGCGAACAAAAATCCTGACTGTGGCCCCGTTTTGTGGCCCGATCAGATAAGGCCCACTCCGTGGATGTTTTAAATAGTCTTGATTATCATTCGCCGCTAACTCTCCGATCACCAAGTTTTGCATAATTAATTAGAAGATGCGGTTTTGGCCGAAAAAAGTTGAGGACACACGAAAAAAGATGTTTTTTGAGGGTTTTGGTGGAGGTTTCGGCAGTTTTGAAAGTTTAGGAAAAGTTTGAGGACAAAAACTTTAGAGATATGACATTGATGACCTTAATGATTATTAAGATAACGTTTTTCAAGAAAATTTCAATTTCAAAAATTTTTTCAAAAAAGATTTAAATTTAAAACATTTTTTAAAAAATTTTAAATTTTAAAGTGAAAGAATTCTTATTACCTTAAACGTGCCAAAACATACCATTTAACTTCTAAAAACAGCTCACGAATTGTCCCAACTTCCCCCCAGCCTCACCTTACATCACCTAAACAACATGACATCTATACCTACAACTCTAGAACGTCATTCCTCCAAAGACAATACGAAAATACCCGAATTACTAACAAACCTCGCATTACAATACCCTTTTTAATTAAGTCCTCGTTTTTACAGAAACAGTTAGTTGCGTGCCGGAGGGCATGTGAAACTATCGGGCGAACTTTGCCGAAGCCGTCGGTCGCGTTTTCGAAAAGTAATAAGCGGAGTCATGACATTTCAAAATGGCGATCATATGAGGAGAGTTGCAAACCGTTACAACTCGGGTCCGAAGTTTGAGTACGTGACTTGCGTGTGCGTCAAACTGAAGCGTTTTGGTCTGGTTGAACCTGTTTTCGAAGGGTACTGTAACTTTTTTTTGGAAAAAATTGGTGTAAATTTGATCTGATACAAGTTTTTTAGACTTTTGGCTATTTTTTGAATAAATTTGATAAAGTAAAAAGAAGGTTGATTACATTTTACTACAGCTATAGGAAAAGGCATTCTAAAAACATTTTAATAAAAAAGTTTATTTTGTTGAAAGTTTACACTAAAAAGTTATTAAAAGATGATGTCTAAAGAAGCTTTTTCAAATTTTCATACTGTAATAAGCTTTTACATTACTCCACCATCATAATACAATGTTAAAATTATAAGAAGAGCCTATACATAGTGACTTAGAACTTGTACATCAATTTTTATGTCTAAATATAAAATTGTTCAATTAATTCTGGGCTCCCTTTTACAGCAAAGCTCCGAGGTGAAGAGGCACAGTATTACGTGAACAACCCAATAGATGAAAATTGGAATAATTTTAGCAAAAACGCGAGACTTTGACGATCAAGATTAGGCCTTTTTTATGGGAAGATCACCAAATTCTGGAAGACAAACGAAATCGGACTAAAAGTGAGTAATAGCTCAGACTATTCCAGGTACAGTAGCTTGTGATTCTTATATGTTTCTATAAGAATTGCTGTAACGAATGAAATGTAAAATTGGTTTAGCTTACTATAGTTTAAATATACCTTACTATAGCCAAACTATATTTTAACATTACTTAAAAAGTGAATTTAAAAAGATAAAAATAAGTTTTTGTCGCTAAAAGTGCAGTTATATGAACATAAACAAGTTGAATACCGTATGAAAATGTTATACCTTTTAAAAATTCTAATTCGATAATATTACTAAAACATTACTGTGCCGTACACGCATTACACTTTACTCCATAATTAGGTGTACCGTATCGACTCAATTGCTTACTTTTTACTATGTATAAAGTAAAAAAGGTAGTTCAGTACGGTAAAGCAGAAACTGTACTAATATACTTGACCATATTACTATAAATTTAATGAAGCCTTGTACAATATTAATCAAAACAACAATAACTAACCAGAAAATCCCAATCCAACCCACCCACAAGTCTTCCCCATGCCCATATCACAATAGAGCCCCATTATTGTAAAGCTACGTCACACTTACACTAAGCATCGAAATTTTACAACCTGAGCCTTTTCGGCAGTGTAATGCCGCTCGCCTGAA